CCGAAATTTCTGATAAATTGGCGGTAGAAGCCGCAGAATCCAAGGTAAGACTTCACGCCTGTGACAGTTGTTGGCCGGATCCAATTCCGGAGGGGTTCGATCTTCTCGGGATCCGCTTCGACACCGGTAGTAGTCAGGATATAGCCTAAATACTTTGTCCGGGTTACGTTGAACTCGCATTTCTTAATGTCGGCTTGTAGTCCTGCTTCTCGAAGCCGTTGGAGGACCTTATGTACGTGGTCCATGTGTTCCGCGGGGTCCTCGGAGTAGATTAGGATGTCGTCTAGGTAGGCAGTACAGAAGTCGTCCAAGTATTGCATAAGAACGTCGTTCATATACCTCTGATAGGTTGCGGGGCCGTTCGTTAGGCCAAACGGCAGCACTTTGCATTTGTAGGATCCATACCGAGTCCGGAAGGTCGTGTACTCCTCGGAGTCGGGGTCCATTCGTATACGATGGAAGGCTTGCCTAATGTCTAGCTTCGTGAAGATTTTTGCTTTCGACACCCGTCCTAGTAGTTCGTCGATACGCGGGATAGGGTAGGGGTCGTTACGGGTAAGTCCGTTCAACTTCCGGTAGTCGATACAAAATCTCAGTTTGCCATCTGCCTTCTTCACGAACAGTATAGGGGAGGCAAACGGGCTATTGCTATTGACTATAAAGCCCTTCTCGAGGTTCTCTAATAGGTATTGCTTAGTCGCCTTAAGCTCTTCGGTGCTTTGTCGGTATAGTGGCGAAAAGGCATTTGGTAAAGGGGCTTCTAGTTGTATCTTGTGATCGTATATGCGATGCGGGGGAAGCTGATCAGATTCCGACTTCGAGAAGACATCGGAATAGTTGCGGTGCATATGCGGAAGCTTGTCCCGAATGAGGCGGAGCGTTTCCTCGTCCTCGGCCGCTTCCCTCTCTCGGATGATCTGGTCGATCTCGTAGATGCTTGTCGTAAAGAACTCGGAGTCGCTTCGCATCATCTCATAGTGGAAAGCGTTTGCGCCAATCTCGCAAATTTGGACCGGCGTGAAGCTGCGTACCAGGGTCTGGCGTCGGGAAAGAGAGAAGACTCCGCTCCTCCCATCATTCTTTCTCTCATATGCGGATGGTCCGTTTCTTGGAGGTTTCGCCTCCACTTGCCCTAAGGGTCCGTCTTTATAGGTTTCCACGGGCGAGGCTCGTGTCCTTGGGGTTTTGGGGTGCGGGTGGGTCATTCCCTCGTCTCGCACCGGGCTCGGTGGGGTGATCATAATAGCGTCACGATGGGCCGTTATCACTTTCATTGGTATCGAGCGTCCGCCCTCACGTCGTCTGTCGTCATGGTCGATGGCATCGTCCCGCTGGTTCGCATCCGATTGATGGGCGGGGTGACGTATAGACAGTTCACGCGAGTGGTAGGGCAAGGTGATCTCTTTGCTCCAGCTAGGAGTAGGCGGGTACTCCTTTGGCCATACTAGCAGGCTCTTTGCAGAGTCGAGTAGGATTCGGAAGCGGCTAAAAAGCTTCTTCCCAATTATCACATCTTGCGCTCCGAGATCTAGGAGCACAAAGGGGCAGTTATATATTCGGCGTCCTTCGACTGTCAAGTGTAACCGAATATACTCCGATACGTAGCTTTGGATATTTCGCTGAAATCCACGTATGGGTACAGAGTAGGGCAGTTTCCGTATGGGGCTCTGAAGCGCTTTCGACAACCGTTGCGCGAAAAGCTTATTAATGACGAGGTAGCCATTTGCTCCTGTGTCTGCGAGTGACTTCGTTTGCACCCCGAGTCCGTTCATACTCAGGGTTGTATCAACGAGAAATTGGGAGCCTCCCAAGAGCTCTCGTAAATCCAGTCCTTGCAGATCACATTTGCGTAGACCTAGGAAGGAGCCTTTCCCTAGGCCTCGTCGTTTTCCTCCAGGGACGCATCCGACTGGTGGGCGACTGCTTCCTCCCACTGCTCTTCGTCCTCAGGGGCTTCGCGGTCAATCTCCTTGACGGTGGGGTTGAGCGGGCATTTGTCTTGGAAATGGCCCGGCTTGCCGCACTTGAAACAGTTCCCGGACGTAGCCGGCACGGCGGTCCGCACGCGGCCTGTAATGTCCGGCTTGGGGGCCGTGGGCGTAAAAGGAGTCCTCTGGAAGGAGACCAGAGGGCTTCTTGTAGGCCTCGGCGGTTGGGTTCTTCCGGGCTCAGCGGGTGTGAACCTAGATGAGCTCAGACGAGCGGGTCCTCGGGAGCTCGACTCGCCGCTCTTGGACGGGAAGCTTAGCTCGTTGTTCCGGCGTCGCTCCTGATCGAAGGCGGTGAGTTCTCGGACCATAGTGTGGTAGTCTCCCTTCCATTGACTTTTGATAACCGCTACGCGGCTACGGAATTGAGGGGTCAACTTGTTCCACATGTACCGAAACCATTCCGACTCTGTGACCTGTCCCGTAATAGCTGCACTTTGGAAGCGAGCTTTGAACTCTGAGAAAGTCTCGTTGGTATGTCCTTTCTCTCCCATTTGGAGGTCGTCGAAGAGGTTCCGGGCCTGTTCCGTTTCGTTGCCAGTGAGGTAATATGAACCCAACAGGTCCATCATCTCGTCGGCACTCCGAAACCCATGTGTCGCGGATAGGTATTGGGGTTCGAGGTATTTCTTTGCCAGGCCAGTCGTAGTCCCTCATATCAACGCTCTTCTCGAGACGTCGGTAGGGTAGTGATCCTCATTGACTACGAGGCGGTCCCGAATGGACGCGCTCCATTGCATAAAGGTATGTTCTATCCCATCGCTGAGCGGCGTAATCTTCTCAGAGATGGTGGATTTCTTGTAGCGATTCGGAGGGTCTTCGGAATACATCCTCGGAATCGATGGAGAACGAGTGTTTCGAAGAGGCGGCAACTGAACTGTCTCGGGGGTGTTTCGCATAGGGGAAGTTCGTCGCTCCTCAACTTCGACGGTGTCCACCTGTGGCGTGGACGGTATTCTGGTCTGGGTTGCCGCTAGGTTGGCTATCATTTCCTTGATCTCTTGCATCTGGATCTCGAGGTTTGCCATTCGATCCGGTATGTCATCGGTGGGTGCAGCGGTCGTAGCTGCAGCGGTGGTTTGTCTCGTTGACATTCGTGACGGTTGACCATCATTGTCTTGGGGGATGTTTGAGGTCATTTTCCTCATATTGGTTCGGGAGTGTATCGGTGTCGATACGAAAGAGTTTGACTTCCGGTAGCTCGTAGCTATCAACACTCTTGTTCACAATTGCCTCTGTGCTTGAGGGGGTTCTTAAGGATCTCGTATCCTATTCGGCGCCAACGCGTCGGCGACTTTACCAGCTTGCTCTGCAGGATCAAACCCTGATCCACTGGTTGTCCGTGAGTTCTCTGGGGTCACGGCTATTTGAAGTCGTCAGGTCTCTACTTCGAAATGTCACTGAGTCGCGGTCGGTGGTGTTTCGACAGTTCTCCTGAGTCGTTCCGTTGTGGGATATTATTTAAGTACGGCCGTCCCCGGCAGGCGTGATCTTTTTTTGTATAATGTAAGGACACAGGGAATACGGCTCTCCGTAGGTGCATATGGGAGTGCGAGTCGGAGGTGATGCTGTATTCTATCCTATAGGTCTACTACGAAGGATACAAAAAAGATGAAGGTGTCACCCTGTATGGCTGTTCCCTTAAAATACCCGAAACCGCTCCGACTCAGCTAGCTCCCTGTTTGCCTAAGGCTTCCTTACATTATGTGCCTAAGGCTGTCAGTCGCGACTGACCCGTAACGGCCCCGAGTCTCGATGGCGCCACGTGACGGCCGTAACTACCCCGAGTAAGGAGGCATCCTTACAAAATATTGAGTTTAAGCAGCTTAGCCTTGATATGCTAGTACGATGGAGCTTAACATATTATATGCTTTATTTAGCGTTGAAGTTACAAGGTCTAATAACAGCTCTCTGTGCATCTCAACAGCTTGATTTAAGTATGAAAGATATAGCTTTAATAGCAAAAGATTAGCAACAATGAAGGCGTTAATTAGATTTTTTTCTATATCTTTATATGCCTAACAGAGAATCTACAAGGCTCTTCTTATCCTACTTTAAATTATGCTGTTATATAGTATATGAGAATGACACAAAAGCTTGAAGTCTTTAAAGCTAGATATACAGAGAATAGCACCATATACAATGCTTGTTTAGTAGCATTAAAAAAGCCTAATGAGTATTATACACTTGTAACAAATCAACAGTGGAGTCATTCAACTATAGCTACAATATGCGACCTATGTTATAACTTTAACGTATTTGATATTATTTGGCCAAAAAGCATTCAAGACACGTGAAAAAGGTGGGCAAAAGCACAATGGCAAGACTGTTATTATAAATATTCAGGCAAGGCATTAGACATCCAAGCAGCAAAGGTTATGGAAAGTATCCAAGATGAGGAATTAGAAGATGAGAATTCTAAGAAGACAGAGTCTGATTCTGAGGATGAGCTATGTCTCACAACGGCAGCCAGATTTAGATCCAGAATGGAAGCGCTGGATGAACGAGCCAACTCTTGGGCCTAAAATTGATATACTCAAGTTTTGGGCAAGTAAGCAATACTAATATCCAATACTTGCCGCAATTGCCAAAGATCATTTAGCAATTCCTGCTACATCAGCGGAATCTAAGCGAGTGTTTAGTGTTGGTGGCGATATTATTACAAAGAAACGGAACAGATTTAGCACCATCTACGCTACGATATCTTTATGTCTTAGGAATTGGGGCGTGGTATCAGCAGGTGAGCATTCAGAGGAAGATGAAGATGCATAGTTACTGTATTTCCATAGTCTATATAGCTATCAATCATGTTTTCATATTTATACTCGAGTACTACTCTACTCGAGCCCAAAAAAGAGTACTCTACTCGAAGATCTGAGTAGTACTCGAGCAACACTGGTATTTACTCAGCCAAATATAAAATATCTCTCAACATATATACAGTAAAATCATCACTCATACCCTCACCATATATCCGCATCCCCCCCTCCTACCCAACTATATACCCCCCTCCTCCCCCATTCCTACACCCATCTAGCAAACTCCGGAAGGAACAGTCGTGCTCTCCTTCCTTCCCGTAGACCCGCTCCCCATCGACGGACCCTGACCCAATCCACGCTTCGCAAACGCCTTCCAGAGTTCACACCGGTTCGCACCACCAGTGAGCGCCTTATTGGCATCAATGATCGCGTCGCGGGCTTGCACGAATGTAGGGCTGCAGGGTTGACTGTTTATTCTTAGCGTCATGTCTTTCTCCATGGAAAATGGAGAAGGGGGAGGAAGGGAGGAAAAAAGGGGGACTTACAGAGCCATGCCATCAATAACCAACTTCATCGTCAAGAACTTCCCGTCCGTCGGCACCTTCCCGTTGAACGTTGGCTGGCGCGCCTCAGAGTTACCATGCTTCTCCACCAAGTTCCAGAGCACCTCATAAAGGATAGTCGCCCACACCGTGCTAATCGACGGCATCAACCTGGCCGCGCGCGACCAAGGGGTTCTCGGATGGGACTTCTCCGGTGAAGAACGAGTTTCCGTATGAGAAGACGAAATCGGCATTATCAATATCAAGACCATGAACCACCTGCTTGAAGTTGACTCTCTCTTCATTTCCCCTCTACTCTCTCGGGATAGATCCCCCAAAACAAATAAGAAAACGCCAGAACCATCTCTCTATCCCCCCAAGATGGCCATCATCCATCCATCCATCCTCCCTACAAGCCCCCCAATCAAATCTCAAGAAAATTATACAATGCACGTTCCCCCCACCACCTAATTATTCCTCCCCAACTGCTGCAAGTTAACCAACTCCGCATACCTCCCCCCCTTCTTCATCAACTCCCCATGCGTCCCCGCCTCCACAATCCTCCCCTGATCAAAAACATAAATCACATCCGCCTTCTGAATCGTCGACAAGCGATGCGCCACCGCAACCGTCGTCCGTCCCTTCGCTGCCGCATCCAGCGCCGCCTGCACCACATGCTCGCTCTCTGAATCCAGCGCTGACGTCGCCTCATCCAACAACAGGATTTTGGGATCACGCAGAAGCGCGCGGGCGATGGCGATGCGTTGTTTTTGCCCACCGGACAACATCGAGCCTTTGCTGCCGACCACGGTCCCAAAGCCGTCGGGGAGGGACATGATGAAATCGTAGATGTTAGCCTCGCGACACGCGTGCTCGATTTCGGAGTCGGGGACATCATCGCGATCTGCACCGAGGAGGATATTATCCCTGATCGAGCCCTGGTAGAGCGTAGGTTCCTGGCTGACGAGGGCGAGGTAGGAGCGGTAATTCGCGATGTTGAGCTTTGAGATCTCCTTTCCGTCCACGAAGACCCCGCCGACGAGGGGATCGTAGAAACGTTCTAGTAAGGCGATCGTGGTGGATTTACCGCATCCGGAGGCCCCGACGAGGGCTACGTATTGGCCTGGCTTGACGGTTAAGTTTAGGCCGCGGAGGACGGGCTGTTCGGGGCGCGTGGGGTAGCGGAAGTGGACGTCGCGGAACTCGATCGTCCCATCCATAGTCTCGAGATGTTCGCCCTCAGTGGACCAGGAATCGATAGCGGGGACGCGATCAAACAGGACCTTGAGCGCGCGCGCGGATTCCTTGGCCTTGCCCATGTCGGGGGCGAAGGAGAAGACGGTTCCGGCGGACTGGGCGCCGAAGATTATGGAGGTGAAGCAGAGGAAGAATTGGAAGATTGTGTATTCCAAGTTGATGAGCAAAGTGCCCCCGTACCAGAATCCGAGGGCCATGACGAGGAGGCTCATGGATTGCGATGCTGCGTAGAGGGTGGAGGAGTGGAGTGTGGATTTCAGACTCACGACTGCCTGCGACGCGAGCTGCTCCTTGTACTTATCCAGCACGTCGGTCTCGCGGGTGAGCGACGCGACGGTGCGGATGGCGGATGTGGCTTCGCAGGCGTAGCTAGCGGAGGACTCGTAGGCTTTCTTGGAGCGGCTCTGGAACTGGGCGAGGACCCAGAAGCGGAGGAAGCCGCAGCCGAGGAGGATGGGGATTGTGGAGGCGACGACGAGGGAGAGCTTCCAGCCGATGGCGATGGAGACGGCGAGGGCGGCGACGAGGGTCACGATGACGGTGAGGATTGTGCCGAGGGTGGCGCCGGAGAGGCCGGCGATGTGCGTCGTCTCGGTAGAGAGGAAGGATGTCAGTGCGCCGGCGGTATTCTCGTCGCGGTCGAAGAAGGCGATGTCCTGGCGCAGCATGGAGCGGAATGCCTGGTCACGCACGCGGTGCACGAGACGCTCGGAGCAGAAGGCGAAGGCCCAGCCTTGGATTGCGAAGGCGATGAATTGCACGATGGCGAGCATGAGGTACATCAGACTCCAGAAGTTGGAGTCGCTGATGACCTGGGCTGGGGAAGAGGCGGTGGGTGCGAAGGATAGGGTCAGGATCTGCTTGGCGAAGAAGACGGCTTGGGTTGGGTTGCCGCCACCGCAGATGATGGCCCAGAAGAGGCCGACGAGCATGAGGTGCGTTTCCTTCTTGTTGAAGGAGGCGACGAGCTTGATCAGTGTCCAGAGAGAGTACGTTTGCTCGCCCTCAGGGACGCGCTTCTGCAGGGCCAGGCTGGACTGGGACTTCTCGGTTGCGGTGCGGTTCAGCTTGTTCGCGATGTTCTTGTCATCCGGGTCTTCGATGTAATCTTGTCCTGCGGTTTCCGAGATGTGGCGGGCGAGCTTCTCATCATCAGCATCGATAGCTGCCTGTTCTTCGGCGGTGACGGCGTTGACGGAGGCAATCTTCTGCGCCTCAACGAGTCTAAAGTACGCGCCTTGAGCTTCAAGAAGTTGATCGTGGGCACCATGTTCGATGATACGGCCTTCCTGCATAACGACGATATTGTCGGCATCCTTGATAGTAGACAGACGATGAGCGATGGTAATAGTAGTTCTCCCAGCAGCAGCGACTTCAAGCGCAGCCTGGACAACACCCTCAGACTTGGTATCAAGCGCAGACGTAGCCTCATCAAGGAGCAGAATCTTAGGATCCGAGATCATCGCACGAGCAATAGCAATACGCTGTTTCTGGCCTCCACTGAGCAAGAATCCACGCTCACCCACATGCGTCTGATATCCCTCAGGAAGGCCTGTAACAAACTCGTGGGCATTAGCCATCTTGGCCGCCCCCACAGCGAGCTCGGTCTTCTTCTCGAGACTCTCGTACTCGTACTTGGTGCCGATGAGACCGTGGAGGATGTTCTCGAGGATAGTAGTGCCGAAGAGGACGGGCTCCTGGGCAACAAGCGAGATGTTGCTGCGCAACCACCTGAGGTTGAGCGTGCTAACATCGTGGCCATCAAGGTAGACGTTACCGCGAACAGGGTCGTAGAAGCGCTCGACGAGGCCAACAATGGTACTCTTTCCGGAACCGGAGGCACCGACGAGAGCGGTCTTCTTGCCAGCTGGGATCAAAAGGCTGACGTCCTCCATGACGGTGACTTCAGGGCGCGAAGGGTAGATGTGCTTGATGTTGCGGAGCTCGACAGTTCCCTTGACGTGCTCGAGCTTGATGCCCTTGTCGTCTAAGGAGTCCAGGGGGGACACGCGGTCGATGGTGTTGAAGATCTTGGCAGCAGCGGATATAGCAGTGGTGAAGGCCTGGATGTTAGGCGCGACGTTTCCGAACGAGAAAGCACCAATCATGATAGCCAGCAGGGTCGTCAAAATGTTGCTGAGCGCCGTCTCGCCGTTGACGACCATCTTGGCGCCCTGCCAGAAAGCAAGACCGTAGTTGAGATAGACGATGCCCATCATGCCTCCGATCATGAACCCGAGAATGACCTTGACCTTGTAACCCCACTTCTCTGCGTCGGCGAGATGGATGTCGTACTGCCTGGCCAGCTTGTCTTGCGTGCCGAAGGCCGTCGCGTTGCGGATGGAGCTGATGACCTCTTCGGCGATGGTGCCTCCCAGGGCGTACGACTCGAGGGATTTCTTGTTATACTTGACAATGAAGCGCGACAGGCCGCCCATGAGGAAGATGATAGCAAAGACCGTGGAGGACAGGATGAGAGTGAGCTTCCAGTACTTGATGAAACCAATGACAAAGGCCGTGACGAACGTCGCCACAGCCGCCAGGGTGAGGCCGACCTTCTCAGAGATACCATCCTGCACCAGATTCGTATCAGCCGTGATGCGCGTAGTAATCTCACCGGCACCAAGCTTGTCAAAGAACCCAATATTCTGCCTCATACACGCCTCCAAATAGCGTTCTCTGATCTTCCCGCTGATATGCTCGCCGGTATAGATGAAGCCGACGGTGAAGATGTAGATCGTGACAAACTCGGCGACGGCAATGTATACAAAATACAAAACATTGTGGCTGAGAATCCCCGCGAATTCATCCTTGGGGATCGTCTTGAGGAAGAGGCCCTGGAACTGGCCCGCCAGGTTACCAAAGACGATGGTCATGAGAGGGAGCGCCGCGCCGGCCGCGATGGCGCAGATGCAGCTCAGCGCGATGATGAGCTTGTCGTTGAGGGTGGCATAGCGGTACAGGGTCCAGTAGGTGGAGGTGACGACGGGGATATCGACCTGTCGCTTCAGGATCTCAGCCTCGTCGGCTGGCAAGTGGCGGAAGGGATCGTCGTGCTCGTCCTTGACTTTGATGACATTGGAGTCGAGCTTCTTGAGGTCGGCCTCCTTGTCGGGCGGCGACCCGGTCTCCTTGTCCACGGGCTTGCGGTAGTTGGCGCTCTCGACGTCGTCGGTGGACTCGCCGTTTGTGGAGGGGGTGGCTGTCGGGACCTCGAGGTCTTTCGCGTCGGGGTGAGACCCCATGGCAGCAGCGTGGGGGAGCGGTGGCACCAACCCCTGTGCTGTGCTTCTGCAGCGTTACGCTTGGTAGAATGAAGAGTCTCAAGAGTCTCAGACAGACATGTATGGAAAAGCGTATGGTAGTAAGAGGGGAAAGGGAAGGGCACGGATAGGTATATATGTGAGACAAAGCTTTTGAATATGGAGATAGGGGGGGGTAGGGAGGTAACCCAAGATTTGATTAGATATGCTACGGAGTTTGGGGAGGGGAGTGGTTTTGAGTGGTTGTTCTTGTTGTTGGGTTATGTATAATAATAATGTGGTCAGGTTGATTCTTGGCCGGAGCTTGATCCGTCCGGTCGGTGGGTCGGTGAGTCGGTGGGTCGGTGGGTCGGTGGGTCGGCGGGGTTATACTCAGTACATGCGAGGTATGCGAGGTACGAGGGGGATGACGGATGCGAAGTACGAGTAACGAGGCGAGGGAGGCGGTAGAAGTTACAAAGGGTGGGTTTGCCAGTGTAAGGCGGGGGGACGGCGTAAGGCGGGGGACACCGACGTCGTCAGTCAGAGGCAGCTGCCGCGTCACCTCCCACGCCGAATCCTACAGCGCACACCATCCTCATCCTCATCCACATCCACATCCAGCCATCAGGCCATCCAGAATCAGCCATCCAGAATCAGCCATCCAGAATCAGCCATCCAGAATCAGCCATCCAGAATCAGCCATCCAGAATCAGCCATCCTCACCACGCCGACCCCCCCAAACCACCGAGAGTAAGCTCTAGGAGTCTGTATGAATGAGTCTTCCCTCTCTCCCACCGACATCCAGAGGTGCCAAGGCCCGGGTTTGTACAGGTGTTCGGGTCCGAAGGTGTTGATTCCATCCCGTAGATCACGTGACTGGTAACTTCCATGTTTAACGCCGAACACAACAGTTGGGATGGATACCACGTGACCACCGCCAGGAAGCGAAGGCGGAAAGGGTTAGGGCACAGTAGCCCTGCCCCAAAATTCAGACTGCCCGCTACGATTGTAGGTTTGACGATTCTGACGAGATCTTTTTGAGGATTATCGACAACCACCAACGACTCGACAATCATTCAAGATGCCGGTACGTGATGTTACTTTGCTCCCCTGGAGGTTGGATGGGCCTGTGTTTGTGCGATCATACCAGCGACACTTCCACGAGCAAACCAACGATTCCGACAGCACCTACTACAGCCCACCTACCGCACTCTTACGCTGCGCATTGCACAGCACCACCGACCGAGACAGGAATCAAGGAAAACATGAAAAAAAAAAAAAAAAACAAAAAAAAGCAACAGCTAACACATCCCCCCCAGAGCCACAAGTCTTTCCGCACCAAGGTCAAGCTGGCCAAGGCCCAGAAGTCCAACCGCCCCATTCCCCAATGGATCCGTCTCCGTACCGGAAACACGATCAGGTAAAATAACCTCCTTGCCTTTCTCCCTCTCCCCCGCCACCATCAGCCTGGCTGGCTGGCTGGAGGGGTCGAGGTGATGATACAACCTTACAGCCTGCGTCCGCAGGCGCCCGAACAACTGCTGATTACCTCACAGATACAACGCCAAGAGGAGGCATTGGAGAAAGACCCGTATTGGAATCTAGACGACTCGCTCTCTGGTTTCTGATCCACCCCACCACCGACATCCTGGTCACGAACACGAACAACAACGAAATCAGTTGCTATTGAGAAAGGATCTTTTTGCCAGGCGGGATGGATCGGATGGGGGGGAGATGGTGCATAGCATGAGATCAATGGATTGCTGATGCACGAATTTTCTGCCAACTCTGTCTTGAGCTCTTGATTGCAAATTGTGTTGGAGTGTGATGGTGCGGTGATATGTGATGTGTATGCTGCGCTGGTCATGTTGAAGCTCCTCCTACGAACGAGAGATTTGATTCTCGATGTTCATATGATTCGATGCATGACGAGTATGATGTGCCGGCTGCCCACGAACGAGAGATACCTTGTCTCGATATGCCGAATCGAGCAGCAGCCATCTCTACATTTCTCATTCCCCATCCCAACCCCCCCTTCCCCCGCTCCTCTCCCCTTCCCCCAACAGCCATTAGTACTGTTCCGGAAGCTCACGTACAAACACATTCCGGAATGTCCTTCCCACCCCTCCCCGCACCCTAAAGCACTCCGGCTTCTTCGCAAACCTTAACCCACCTCCCCCGTATCCGTCGAGCCTTACCTCAACCTCCTCTCCTCACCCCCCAACCTTCCAAACCCTCCTCCCTCTCTATCGGTTCCAAGAAACGGACGACGGAGGTTTGTAGGAAAACACTCTCCCCAGATGTCTCTTAGCTAACATACCGCTCGTTCAATGTAAAATTGAGTGGGATGTATAGAATAGAATAGTGCTGTGGTGGATGAGTAACCCACTCTCTCTCACTCTTACCCTCCTGCGGCGGCGGGTCAGAAGGATGGCACGGGTTACAGTTTACTCCCAGATCAGGAGTCAACCTCACCAGTAGCAATCGCGTATAGCCATGCCAACAGCTCGAAAACATCTCCTACCATTAGCCCATCATTCACTTATACATAAGCACCATCACCATCAACTTCACCAGCAGCAATCACACATCAGATCTCATATCACATCAGCACACACACCCATTAAAAATCATCTTCATTCCATTCTCCTATCCCCATCACCCCACCGCTTCTCTCAATCTACTCTACCCCGCCTTCAAATCTACCCCACCCAATCCCCCATCTTCCATGCATCCTCAAAAGCCAAAAGAAAAGAGAGACAAGAACATCGCATCACACAAGCAAAAAAAAGCGAATCCATCTTTTCCAAACCCAGTGTATCCCGTATCATTAGCAAAAGCACGGCGAGAGAGAAGGAAAAAGGCGAAGAAATGAAGGAATGCGTGAGTAGGCGGACCAGAAGTTGTTGGGTGAGAGCTAGGTGTGGTGTTCGACCGCTGATGTCGAGGGTGAATGAAGTAGGTAAGGTTCGTATCATCATTGCTGGGTCGAGCGAGAGAGATGTCCCGAGACCCCGCCTCTCAGCATCCAAGTACAACCACCCTTTAACGATCCTCAGCCCACTCATTCTCCCTCCTAATCTGGTCCTCCTCCTCCGGCGTAAAATCATTCGTAATATTAAACGTCTTCCTAATCTCCTCCGGGCTCTTCCCCTTAATCATATTCGCCACGGTCTTGCACCCCACATCGAGGAGCGGCTTGATGTCCAGGTAGTTGGAGGCCAGGATGATCTCAAACAGCATCTCCTGGTCGACCTGCATGAACTTCTGGTCCCACTCCTCGATGTCGGTGGTCTTCTTGCGGGAGTCGGAGTCGTCGTCGGCGGAGGCGGGGGGGTCGTCTTTGTGGTGCTCGCACCATTCGATCACTTTCCTGAGGACGGATTCGTTGACCTGTGGTGCGTGTGTTAGTGGGGGTTCTTTCAGGTGCTGTGGAGGTTCTGCGGGAGATCGAGAGAGCGGGGGGGGGGGGAAGTGAAATTGCGGCGTGATTGGGGGCGGAGAGAGAAACGTACGTTGGGGATAGGCACTTCGGCGCCGGCGGTCTCACCAAGATCCTCCATCATGTTGACGATGAGCATAGAGCGCTCGGCGACCTGGCGCTCTGTGGTGGGTGGGTTAGCTGTGTTTCATGCGGATCAGGGAAGGCTATGGGCAAGACTCACTGACGACGATGGGGACGCCATCGTTCGAGACGAGGGTGATGGTGTTTGGGCCTTGATCAGCCATAGCGACGGAGTGCGTAGTAGTTTCTTGGTGTAGTTGTAGTGAGGTGAGCGATGGTAAGTGAGGAACGAAGCTGTTGTTGTTGTAGTTGCTTCGGCGTTGGGGTATTTGTATGGTAAGTTGCCTGGGGGGGAGGTGCAAGGACGAGAGGTATGACGGGGTTGTAGGTGATCAGTGTGGGGTTGTTCGTGGTTGCCTCACAAAAGCCGCAGCGCAGTCTGGGCTAAGCCGCGTTTGGTAGCTCGGCTATTTTTCTTTGCCGCGGTGGGAGGGCAAGCAAGCGCCAAGGCTGGATTTTCTTTATTTGGGCGGTTATGAATTCATATGGAATGAAGGTTATACTCCGTAGTTTGTAATTCTTTGTGGTTCCTTTGAATTCAAGGTCAAGCACTATTTTGCGATGGTGTCATGTTACTGTCGGCTGTCATTTGTTAAAGAGTCTAGTCGTGTCTCATAGGAAATGAGATGAATGAGACGGTCCTCAACAAATTCCCACGCGGGACCCTGATTCCCTGCTCCCCGCCCGCTGTCTGAGAACCTTCGTTTGCGGAGTCCAAAATTGCAAATTTCGCCGAAAGCAGCAACCCCGCCAAAGCGATAAATCGTAAGCTTTGCTGGTTTTATGCAGACAAGACCGAGCCAACCCCAGAAAAGCGAAAGCGCGCGCGCCTTGATTGCAGTATTATGATCATCATCATCCCCACATCCCCCATCTCCATCTCCATCCCAGCCAAACCCCGACACCCTCAAACACCCACGACCATCAACAGCTTCACGACCATCCTTTTCGCCCTCGCTGCTGCTTGCTGCTCCCGCTCGCAAACCCCCAGGTCGCACCCATCACCAATGTTGGCCACCCCCAGCACATCGCAGTTGCGATCTCGAACCACCCACCGTCACTGCGCCGCCGCGTAGCAGACCAATCTACCCCAACCACCACAAACCACACACACAAACCGCGCAACGATGTGGCGTCGCGCGTACCTGCTGCTGGCGCTGGTGCGTTTATACTTCGCGTTGTCGCCCAGCTACTTGCATCCCGATGAGAACTTTCAGGGGCCCGAAGTCATCGCTGGTACGTCTACTTCCCCGTCATCCGCAGCCTCCGGATATCCCCGGAAGAGCGGCCCTTTTCCCATCTCCCATCGTCGGCGTGTGGTATATCTACAGTTCTCCGTTTTCTATCCGCTAACTGCTCCCGCGATACAGGCCAGATCTTCAGCTACCCCGTCAAGCTGACCTGGGAATTCACCTCCGAAAACCCGATTCGAAGTGTCTTCCCCTTGTGGCCCGTCTATGGCCTGCCTATGCTGCTGCTGAAGTGGATATGGATCGGCAATGGACAGGGTGGGGAGGTGACGCCCGCGGTTGTCTTCTGGACGCTGCGCGTGCTCATGTTCCTGCTGAGTTTCGTGCTGGAGGACTGGGCTATTCATGAGCTGGTTGAGAAGCCACGGCACAGGAGTTTAGTGATACTATTGGTCGCCTCATCGTATGTGACGTGGACGTTCCAGGCGCATACGTTCTCGAATTCGTTGGAGACGATTTTGGTGGCGTGGAGTCTGGTGCTGATACAGAGGATTGTGGATGATAAGGTACGGATTTCCCTAGAGGCAGATATATGAAATACGCATGGAAGATGTGTGTGGTGGGATGGGAAGTGTGGACACTGGCTAACGGGTATTACAGCAGCGGACATCTCCTTTCGCATCTGCGTTGTTGGCTTTCTTGGTCGTCTTTGGATTCTTCAATCGGATCACATTTCCCGCATTTCTGTTCATCCCCGCGTTTCGTTTGATACCCCATTTCGCGCGGAAGTGAGTCCCTCCCCCGTCCCTCTCAACAATCCCCCTAACCTCCCCCCTCACAGACCCCTCTCCCTGCTCTTCATGGTCATCTCCGGCCTCTGGACCCTCTTCTTCGCCATCGCCATCGACACCGAATTCTACTCCCGCACCCACCCCGTCACCTGGTCCACCCTCTTCACCCACCCCATCATCACCCCCCTCAACAACCTGCGCTACAACCTCGCCACCTCAAACCTCGCACTCCACGGCCTGCACCCGCGCTACGCGCACCTCCTTTTCAACCTGCCGCAGCTCCTCGGCCCGGCCTTCCTGCTGCTGTTCTTCCGTCCTCACTTGTCGTTGCGCTTATATTCTGCTATCTCAGGCATCCTCGTCCTATCAGTGTTCCAGCACCAGGAGGCGAGATTCCTAATCCCTACCATCCCGCTGATCCTCTCATCCATCCGGCTGCCGGCGAAGAAATCTCATCTGAAGATTTTCGCTGCGGCTTGGCTGGTGTTCAACATTATCTTCGGGGTACTGATGGGCTCCTACCACCAAGGCGGCGTAGTACCAACGCAATTCCACCTCGCGAATATGGAAGACGCGACACACGCGCTGTGGTGGAAAACATATTCCCCTCCCGTCTGGCTACTAAACGGGAAGAACGAGGTCCTCACCACACACGACCTAATGGGTATGCCCGGGGCCAAGATGATCTACGAGCTACGCGCCCTGGCGACGTGTGGCTCCTCCTCATCTTCGAACTCCAAATCGGGGAATAATAACGCGACGGGCACGTACCTCGTTGCGCCGCTGTCATCGAGTTACTTATCGGATTATATCGCCGAGAATAATGGAACGAAGGGGGGGCTGAGGTTCGAGGAAGTCTGGAGGTATAGGATGCATCTTAACCTTGATGATTTGGACTTTGGAGATGATGGGGTGTGGCCGACGCTCAAGCGCGTGGTGGGGAGGAGGGGGTTGGCGACGTGGAGAGTTAGTAGGGATTGCTCTTCATCCTCGGGGTGGAGGAGCTGAGTTGGGGTTTGGGTGGTGGGTTGACGTGGTGGTTGTTGTGCGAGCGAGCGTGCGCTGATTTCTCATCTCATCTCATCTCATCTCATCACTATTTTTTCAGCGCGTTCGTGTTGTCGTTGCGACGTTTGAGCGCTCATAGGGGGTCGGTGGAAAAGCTGGACGGGAGGGGGGGCGTATTGGAGTCAATACGGAATGTGAGACCATATATATTTGGGTACACCACGTCCGAGCGGGGGTTGGCCGGGGGCATCGTAGCACTCGTGGCTACGTTAGACAACAGCGCCGCGCATGCATGTTATGTATGCGGGGGAGCGGTGACACGGAGATATATAATGGTCCCGTAATAATTAGATTTTTTAATACGATGGGGGAAAAAGGGGGGGGGGTCTTGGCATAGATATAATATGTGGTGGTGGATATTTGGTCGGGGTTTAGTAATGTTTGGTGGTTATAGTCCAGTCATTTTTGACTTTGGGGAAGTGGTGAGGCGGAGGGAGTAGTGTACGATATGTATGTATATTATCAAATTATAGAAGGTTGTGGTTTATTGGGTTCTTCAGCTTGTGGTCGTAAACGCTGTGACAAGCGGAGCATCTGCATTACTGCGACGGAGCAAGCTCTCTCCTTGCCGTGATTGATTCCACCACCTTTCCTAGTAATCACAGCTGAGTATGTTCGGGTATCATACTGACTTGATTCGATGAGCTTGCTGCGGTTCGTCTCCTTTGAGTAGAATAGAGGTTGTCGCGTGGTTGGCCCGTAGCTGGTCCAAACTCCATGGCAGGCGCCCGTGACTACCGCTCTCAATCCAGCACATCATGCAGTTCGGAAAATCCGTGGGGATTGCTTGCAGCTCCTTCGCCATCACCAATATTGATGACATGTTCGTCTTGGTCACGTTCTTCTCTGTGGCAGGCAATTCATCGGATTCACAGTGATTATCATCATCAGCATGATTGGTTTCGGTGCTTCGCTAGCCCTTCCCCCTGAACCCATTGGATTTCTAGTCTGCTGCCCATTCTGATGGGAGTCTGGAATTTGTTTGGTCTTCTCTTCGAGGACGAAGAGGAAGAAGAGGACGCGCCCAATATTGCCGGCATGAAAAGAATACTCAAAGTCTAATCCATCACAGTGATGAATGGGGGAGGAAACATTGGGACGTACATACCGCTGTTTGCACAAGCAAGGGGAGCTGAGATAGCTGTATACGTCGTCACATACTATATCTTGCTCGGCGTGTGATGCCTCGTCGCGCTTCTGGTTATGAGGCAGAAAGACGTCCTACTTCTAGCTCAGAAATATATGAGTGTGGCAATACCCTTTCTATTCCTAGGCCTCGGAATTTTCATCAAGTCATCGTGCTACCCATGGTCCATCGATCACATTGACGCTTCACTCTCCACACACCCGGGCAAAATTATTATGGCTGTGGTGACGACCATACTCCTTTTAATATGTATGGGGGCCATGTTATGGCTCAAGCTGCGGAAAAAGGCAGCTCGGACTCCTCCGGACGTTGGCATTCCTCTGGAAGGGAATCCTCCATGTCTTTTGGAAAGCGCGATTGACTCGAGTAAGCCCGCCCAACGCTTATCATCCCCCGCAGATTTCCACTTGGCGGTTATCTAAAGAGATTCTTAACATAGAGAATGGCGATCCCGCAACGGGGGCCGCCATCCTTTTGTATTTATAGAGAAGTCATTTGCTTATAACCTCCTTTAGAATCCAGATCTATAGGACATTCTAGCCCTTAAAGATATTGAGGGGGGTGATTTCTATGCCACCTATACAGATGCATTCAACAGCAGAGACCCATTCCTACTGGCTAGGATAGGCTTGAAAACGCGTCTAGAGTGTAGAATCAACTATAATTCATATAGATTACATTGTCCTAATTGAAAATCTAGTCTCATCCATGTTATAGGTGTTGTAGTTTTCGATTTTTTGCTCTGTTATAAGGCTCTTGTACATGTCAAACACCCCTTTAACACCTCTTTAATAGCCCCATTCATCCTTTGTGCCTTAACTCTACGTCCTAACTTAACACGTAAGTTAGGATGCCTTTGAATGAATCGAGAACCCAATCTTGCCTAAGAGGTAACTTAGGTATTTGAGGTTGTGGTTGTTGAGTGGCTAGGTCAATTGAGTCGGTCGGGTCAATTGAGTTGGTCGCGTTAGTCGCGTCGGTCGGGTCTGCTGGTAGGCCGGTTGATTTGATGGGGTCTGCCAAGCACTAGTTAGAAATAGCCGAGTGTGCTAGATTATGGCAGGTTTGATGGGTTGGTTGTTTGTTGACTTGACTGAGCTGGTCAACTCTGTAGGTCAGCTCACCTGGGTTTGGAAGACCTCCTCTGCAACCTCGCGTAATATCCGATGGCTAGGAGCGTAGCCACTTATAGTAAGTCCTTTAATCTACTTAAGAAGGGTCTTTTCTTGATTTTTTGACAAGAGCTGCTGTTGCTGGCGCGCTTCTGTACGTGTTAAGCCACCTCTAACACGCCGTTGTATGGTTCTCTCACACAGCCCTAGGGCCTTAGCAGCCTCATATGATGAATTATATTTTTTATTCTGGACTCCTAGTACTGCTTTAGATATTTGATTATCGAGTTCTTGAGGTTTCTGGATCTTCTGGCGTACCATAATGTGGTTAGGTAGGTTGGCAGAAGGTGGTGGTGGTGGTGGTGATGGGTTTGATGGGGTGAGCCGCGCACAGGACGGGACGCCCTGTAGCCTCACGCACCATCACGCATGACGGGTTTATTTTATTTTTATTTTCTTTTCTTTTCTTCTTTTCTTCTTTTCTTCTTTTCTTCTTTTCTTCTTTTCTCCTTTTCTCCTTTTCTTCCTTTCTTTTCTTTTTATTTTCACCTTGCTTTCTTTTAAAATACAACCACACCCAACAATCAACTCGATTTTCAAACCAAACCACAAGAATAACAACAGGAGAATAGTCTCCTACGAAAAGCTGGCGGAAATCATCTCTTCACACCGACCAACAGGCTCTACCAAGCCTGTTGGCGAGTTGCCAAAGCCCACGCGACCGCCATAGAATGAAGGTTAGTCCGCTGCAACCCTCCCCGTGTCGTGAATGGCGGCAAGATGCTTCCGATATTGGTTCATCTACATGAGAATCCGTCTTATCGTTCAATTTTCCGCCTACTAACGTCATATGCAGAACTGTGTGCTCCCTGATATTGCAAGACCCGTTGTCTCGATATTCCCGCAGGCACCATACCATTCCCTAACCCCCCTTATTTTCTTGGAATTCAACCCAGAGTTGGCCATACTGTCGCCAGGATGGAACGAGTATTCAGGATCCTTCGGGCTCCAGGTGTTCGACACGGCGTCGAATGCGCGGCACCTACCCAGGTAGTCCTGAACACGGAGCCATGTAACCAGGAGAAGGGTTTCGATATCTCCGTGGAGAACATCAATACCTACACTGTCACGACCAAGCCTAGGGTTTTGGATCGTTGGCTCGACAAGGTTGTTGAAGCCTCTGGTTCCGAGTTTGTCTACTTCACGTTCATCATCGCCCTCCTTACGTGGGCGTTCTTGGGCATTCCATTCGGCCAGTCCAACACTTGGCAGCTCACCATCTCCGATTCTCAAGCTATCATCAACATGGTCTTCGACGCCTTCCTCATGCGACAGCAGCTGAATTCTCACGAGTCCCTCATGGTCGTCGCCGCTTGTCTGAGGTCGCGCACTACCAGCCACAAGAGAATGCTAAACCAACTCATCAGGAGCGGAAAATATAAGAAAGTCAAGTCAACACAATTCCAAGAGCTACAGCAGACAGATTTCGAGTCCGAACTCCCTGCCGAGAACTGGCTGGGTCGAATCTCCACTGCAGTTTCTACGTTTATGGGTCATATTGTCACAGTCTTCGGTTTCTGGGTGTGCATATTCATCTGGATTGGATTCGGCAAGTACTGCAATTGGTCCGACACATGGCAGCTATACATCAACTCGTCTACTTCAGCATTGATGGTGTTCATATTGGCCTTCTTGGCCAACATTCGCGAACGACACACCAAGTACATGACAAGATGCCTCGAATCTATCTGGAAGGTTGACGCTGCTCTCGAGCTCAGACTTCGTACGGTCACCGGAGACAACATCGAAAATCCGGCCGTTCTTATCCCCGCTCACAAGCGAAGCAGAATTCAGCGTGCAATCGATTACTACGCGGATCTCGTCGGGACTCTTGTTGGGATCATGATTCTAATCTTTGTCCTCGTCGTTTGGGTAGCGATCGGTCCAGCACTGCACTTCAATGCGAACTGGTGGCTTCTCATTGGTACATATGCCGGGTTGGTTGGCTTAAACGATGGCTTCGTTCTTCGCAATGTCTGCACTGTACTCGGGGACAACGAGAACGAAGAGTTCGCCCACGTAGAAAACTCCGATATGGATATGCTTGCCATCATTGGCGTGGAGAAGCTCGACGAAGAGCGCGTTGCGGACAACTCTCTTACTTGCCGAATCTCGATTTGGGTGGGTAATATCTGCTCACATGAGCAGACCGTCGTCTTGGGGGCAATCACCATATTAGGTCTCATCATTGGTGCTAGTGCGATGAAATGGAGTGTTACTGGACAGCTCCTCTGCAATGTCCCTCCTAGCATCATCGAGTCATTTTTTACCATAATCCTGATTGCGGGCCACAACATCGGGGAGGCGAAGAGACGTGTCGACCTTCATAACCTCTACTTACGGAGACTGAAACTGGTATCTTATGTCGATACCCTAGCCAAGGTTGAGGCAGTGGAGCAAGTTGAGGAGAAGTAGAGGTCAGTACCTTTGCATTTATGCTATCGTCGCGCAACTGTTCCTCTATCAGAGGAACGGCTGCCGGAAGATAGCAGGAGCAGAGTTGGCGGGAGGAGTTGGCAGGAGTAGAGTTGGAGGACATGTGTACGGCAATGTTGGGGGTTGCGATGGGGCTTCCTGTAAACTAATTAGTCCCGTTGTCAGTATTAGCCTCTTTGAGCCCTATGACTGGCTCTAGCGTCAAGAGGGCAAAACCTGTGGCTCTTGAATCACTTCTGCAGCAGTGAATGGGTCGGATTACTCGAGCTGCATCAAATAGGTTATAATAAAGTTTTACCCCACTTCACTTGTGCAGATGCAATGTGACTGTATGATATGTACGACGAGTGAGCAGCAGATGTCTCGGGATGGAAAATGCGAAGTGCGTGTAAAGTTAAGATTTGAAAAGTAGCTTGATAACCTCGATCCTTGCCCGATTATCCTCTACAAGTAATCTTCATGGATTAGAGTGGCTAAAACACGTTTTTAAGCCCTCTATAAGGGAAAAAGCAACACTTTCAAATTGACAACTACAACAAAGCCTCCTTATCTACGATGGCCATGACAGCCATATAAGCAGAAGCTTCATATCACACTGTATATAGAATCGAATTTTGCTCCTTATACCACCTCCACATACCTCACATATACTCTAACCACTTGATGTTGCAATTTTTAGACCTTTGAAAAAACACCTTATAACAGCTCTATCTCACCTTAATGAGGCGCAACTCCGACGTATACATAAGTTAGAATAGATAGAGGCATACATACAAGCAAGAGAAGCTAGATTTTCAAAATCAAACATAACTTCTGCTTAGTGGGCTACAGCAATTTCAGCCACATACAATTATACGTACAGCTACACATATAGCTCACGATGAGCCCCCTGTAATGCTGACTTCTAAACGATAGAAGACACAGAGGTTTCTTGCGTAAGGTTGACTTAACAGAGGAGGCAGGGGATTAGACACAAAGGCTTTCCAAGTAACACGTTACAGTATTGTAAAGAATACTATATTGAGTTGAGCATGAAGCTCCTATCTAAGGAAATACTATCTACTTATATAGTGGCGTTGTGCCTCATGGGTAATCTGGATAGTTGGCGGATAGCTAGATATTCAGGATAGTTCATGGATAGCTCAACTATCCAATATCCACTAGTTTCTGCAACTATCCATTAGCCCCGTCACATGGCAGCCTACCCCGCTTGCCCCCTGTGACTCACACGTCATGTTACTAGGCCCTGGTCCTGTAACCATGATGTCACGTTACCGTAGCCGTAACAATTTGCTAATATCAAGGTGAGTTAGTGAAGTAAACACAAGACAAAGAAGTAGATCAAAAGATATGTGTACTTACAGTGAGTTTGTAGGAAGAATATTGCAGAAGAAGAGTATAGAAAAGAGGTAGAGGTTGAAAGGTATGTGTTTTATATGAAGGTTCGCGTTGTGGTGTTGCTTTTGGAACAGTAATTCTTTGTAGGTAAATATTCCTTCACGAATATTTCTGTTTGCAACTTTAAAATAACCACGACCTTAGAACCACCTTCCTTGGTTACTCTCCGATCTACACATTCTTCTTCCCTTTTGCGCCTTCACCTCTTCACTAGGACTTCAAGTAAGTTTATTATCTTGATTCTATAGCCAGAACTTCTGGCGATCTTCTGCTAATCACGTGTTTAGTATGGCGAAACGCAAGGCACCTGAAGAACTCTCCACTAATGTGAATACTATCAAAGCTCGCAACCGCGTCTCCAACCTTACTGAAGATGAGAAGGCTGTTCACTTAGCACTCAAGGCTGACCATGCTGATCTGAGCTACTACTTAAAAAAGTATCGCTGCCTCTACTGAAGACAAGACACGTCTACAGAATGAATTGAAGGTTGAGCGTATTCGTGTTTGGTAAGTTCCTTCTGGTAATCTCTGGTAGCCTCAATCTAACTATAAACAGGACTGAGAAGGGTACCCATGCATCTTGCATTGCGAATCAGAAAGTCAAGAATATTAGCGCCTCTTCTTCTTCTCCACAAGCACCACCATCTACTCCGCCACAACTTCTGTCTGAGCTTGCTGCATTTGAGGGTATCTCAAGTATTCCAATCGATGACAATCATAACAGCGAATGGGAGGATACTGAGGTTGAAGACGATTTGGAGTTGGAGCTTATGTTACAGCGCGAGATATTTTAAATGACGAGGCTGTTCTACCAGATGAGCTTTCCGATGAAGAGATCACTAGCACCCAGGCTCTCTTAACTCAAGCGCACATTGATGTATGCTACCTCATAATCTGGTAATCTTCTGGTGATACTAATAGTTGATAGGCCCATGAAGAGTCCAATTTCCGCAAGTGGCAACATTTCTGGGATAGCTGTATCCACTCATATACGAGAAAGGCTGGAAAGCTGAGAAAGAAGCCTGAGCGTCTCTTTGAGTATATGCCATGGATTGATGTAGAGGAAGGGTACGTCTCTGATCATCCTAGCAATCTTCTGGCAATACTAATTGTTTATTATAGCACTTTTCACGAGGTTATCCCACCACATAAATATTTCTGTTTGTACGAGCAGGCAGTTTGGAAAGTGGGCCTAATTACCAGGACCTGTGCAGTGGTACCCAAAGTCTTACAATCTTGTCGACAATGGATGGTTGCAAATATCCACTCATAGTTCTAGCTTCAAAGAGGCGTTCTTACTTGTCTACTCTAAGAAGTTTGATAAGGAAAAGTGGGCTAAGGTATCAGCTGCGCAGGATATGTTGTTCCTGGAGCTAGAGTAGAGGAGAACTTGAGTTTGCTAAAGTTATAGCGCTGGAGTACCTGGTTTTCCAACGCGAATAGGGGCTATAGAGAAATTTAAGTACTTCATCGTAGCCAGACTTCTGGTAACCTTCTGATAATCGAGCAATTTGCCAAATGTCATCTCAATACTCAGAGTTGTTTGATTCTGACAATCCTATTGCAGATGTATTCTCAGACTCTTTTCCATCTTCTCAACGACTATCCTCGTTAAATCAAGTCCCTGCAGGCCTTGAATATATTGGCAAATTAAACCAATTCATCAAATGGGCTAAGGATACACACGATGTATTCATTGAGTGGTGGAAGCTATCACGATGGTATGAACAACACTCAGATCATACTACAAAACTCCTTACGAAGATTGCATGGGATTCAACGAACCAGAGTTCTCAATACTGGAGAAGTTATCACCAAGGAGCAGACTGGCTTTCTGGAGAACCATGTGTCATTTGTACTTATTGTTCGAAGGCCCTTACGCATCCTGCAATCAAGTCTGCTGGCCCAAAGTCTATGGCAACACATCTTGCATCGGACATTTGCAAAAAGAAGTCACGGATGGGTAAGGATAGTCTCTATCAAATGCGAATCAATCAAATGCGACCTCAACAAGTAAGGATTACCAGATTATTACCAGAATCATGTAGGTTAATATCTATAATAGGATCATATTCTCACACAAGAGACATTTTATGAACAAGTTCTATACACAGTTATCTCGACTCATAGCTCGTTCCGCTCAGTCGAGGATACTGAATGGAAAAGGCTTGCTATCTTACAGAATCCTCACTATCCACTACCCTCAGCAACAACTATTCGAAACCTCTTAACAACAAAGCTCACACAAATCGAAGAAGAGATGCTACAAGATGTTGTTCCTGGTTCAAAGATTGCATTATCGCTCGACTGTTGGTCAAGTGTTACTCGACTTTCGTTTATGGGTGTTATTGCATCGTTTATCGACCGTCATTGGAAAATGCAAGAGGTCTTGATTGGCTTTGAACCTATATATACAGAGTATACTGGTGCTGAGTTATGTGGAATACTTGAAAAAGTTATCACACCTAGGCAGCATTTAGAAGGACGAATTATATCCATTACGACTGATAATGCGTCAAACAACACTTCGATGATGAGAGATGTGGAAATAATGCTTGATAGTATTGCGGACAACGAGCATTTTATTGGAGGAAAGGTACAACACATACCCTGCCTAGCTCATGTTATTCAACTTGCCCTTAGTGCTCTCCTTGGCCGAATCTGGATTACGCCAACAAATCAAGAGATCTTAATGAACTGGGAAGAAGAGAACCAGATGGAGGGCCTTGCAAAGTTACAAAAAGACAAGGGTATCAGATTTACACTTGGAAAGGTATATATTCTCTTGTTAGTTCTGGTAATCTTCTGGTAGCTTTTTCTAATATCTCATAGCTCCGGAAGCTCACTATCTTTGTTAATTCAAGTCATACTCGAAGGAACAGGTTTATGACTTTGCAAAAGGCAAACATGAACCGGGGTCAACCATCTCAGAGACTTCTTCAACTTATTCAAGATGTATCAACTCGATGGGATTCGACATGCCATGTGCTTCTGCGAGCACAGCAACTTAAGTCAACAATCAATCAATATACCCGAGGCGATCATGGTGCTCATATGTTTAGACTTGGCGAGGTAGAATGGAAGCACATTGAATACATCATTGATCTTACAAGACCATTCAACTTCTTTACAACAAACATTGGATCGTCAGCTGGACCTACTGTCTGCTATACACTCGGAGTATATCAAAAACTCTTATCAACGCTTGAAGGAACTCGGCACTGGCTATGGCATAAGACATATCCATGGGTAGCAAAGATGACTTTAGCAATCGATGCTGCAGAGAAGAAGATTAAGAAGTATTATAACAAGCTATACACAAATACTGGATCTATCTTCGCATTTGCTAGTATCTTAAATCCTAGTGTGAAGCTCTCACACTTTAACAAAAAGGTTTGCAAGCTTGACTTTTCAATACGAAATTGGGAGACAGAGTTTGAACAACAGTTTAAGACTCTTTATAAAGAGCAGTACTCTACAGTGCGAGTTGCGAGTCAATTAGGATTATGAGATGCAGATATGGATCCATTAGCCTTAGTATTGCAGCAAAGTCAGACATTAAATGGGACTCGGGGCCAGAGAGAGGAATATGTGAATGAGGCTGATCTCTATCTTGATGCTCGTAAGTTTCTGGTAATCTTCTAGTAATCTTATTCTAACTTGTATAGCACATGTGTACACAAAGATATTGCTATTTTGGCAACAAAAGGAAGAGCAATTTCCTGGTCTATCAGCAATGGCTCGTGATATACTTTGTATTCCTGCTGCTGAGTCTGGAGTTGAGCGAGTCTTTAGTGCCGCAAGGGATGTGTGTGCCCACCGACGTGGCCAACTTAATCCTGAGACAATTAAGAGTATTATGCTTGTATATTACTCTCGACAATACAAGAATCATCAATGTCATGGTGACAAGCTTGCAGGTATGATGGACGTCGTTGATATGACTGAGGAGCAAGTAGAAGAAGAGTATGAGGCACAACGACAACGGATGTGCAATTCTATCGAGTTACAATATATCAGCGATGAAGAAGAACTACGATCAAATACACATATCCGAGAGACATATTCAAAGGTACAATATCCTCCGTTTAACCCTCAGCGGCCACAGCAACAGCAAAACTTATCACAAGCCGCACATGAAGAACGACAAATGCGCTACCAACAAGGTGAAGAAAGAGATAGGGCTGACCATCTTAATGAGACCTTATACGACATCCCAGATGATGATATCCTAGATAACGAAGATATAAGAGAAGATGGTAATAATGAGGAGCCTATACTTCCAACTATTCATGAAGATGAAGAGAAGGATATGCCGTCCTCACCACCAACGCCTATCCAACATGCTCAGAAGACTGGAAGAGATTTACTTAATATCTTTCAAGCTACTCGTCAAGACCCCATAAATACTTTAGGTATTAGTAGGTCTGGCCGGCCTCATCAAGCAAGGTGGAGAGATGTTCTTAAGCATATATAATAGATAATAGCGTTCTGATAATCTTCTGATAATCGTGGTACTTAGATAGAGGAATATACATGATTCGTTCTCACAGCTTACTAGAGATGGCGAGAGTGATGCTGATAGATGTAATACTTTAACTTAACCATAAAACAGTATTAATCGTATGAGGGACTGTTCACATGATGCATAAATCTTACACGTGATAGCCGAGTACTCACTGGGTTTTTACAGAGTAACTGAGTATTGACCTCACTCACCGAGTCGAGTAAAAGGTTCAGCTACTCACCCAGCTGAGTAACCCACTGAGCGAGTGAGCCGAGTATTGAGCGAGTAGTGCGCAGCCTAAGTAGAAGGTATACATGTAGACATTGGAAACTCTCAGGGGCAACCTCCTGATGCTGGCCCCTCAGAATCTCTTGGGGATTCTGATGAGCAGTCCACCAGCGATATGACGGATTACTATTCCCAGGACGGTGATTGGTGTGAACAGTCACATTTCAGTGATCATGAGCGAGAATTTCTCGAGTCCCAAAACGGTAGCTTGCAGCAGTCAGGTTCCGGTGAGGAAACCTTCGTTGACATGAATTTGTACATCAACTTTTCTCCCCAAGAACGCCCAGCACATCTCCATCCCCAGGTCAATATCCTAGCCAGGATTCGCTAGCGCGCCTTGTTGATATACCGCGAGCCTCAACGCCGCTACCAACCCCTAAGCAATCAACTAATCATTATTCTTTGGCCTCCGAGCTCCATAAAAAACAGCCTGCCGTTAATATATGGCAAGACAGAGGCATGCCCGACTTAGGGAAGATATGGAAATCATGGTCAAGAGAATAGGACAGTTAATCCCAGAGACCTTTTGCAAACACCTGTACAGAATTATCGTACCAGAGCGGCCAACAGACTTTGGTGAGAAGCTGCGAATCAGGGCTAAACGGATCTGGCAGTTTTCCGCTGTGTGGTCTGTGCTATGGATTGTGTCATCCCGCCTTCTTGGCCGTTGTGGCTCCTTTACTATAGACAGAGGACCAGAAGAGCAATTATAAAGGTACAACATAGAAGCTAGACATAGGCGTAATCCAGAGTACAAATAATATGATAGCACCTTTGAACCACAAATAGTACTGCAAAAAGAAGCTGTTAAAGTTTGTATTGATTGTATTTTCTACGCAATGGAAGGGAATACCAATGAAGCAACTCCCAAGTTACAGTAGCACCAAAACCGGCTTTTAAAAGCGCTGCAAATGAGGCAGGCGAGAGGTCACATCCAGACTCAAAGTGGGGATTCTTAGAACATTGGAGGGATGTGGAACAAGATTGGCTTCAAAAGCACTGAAGTGAAACCTTGCTACTAGAGCGGGAGTGAGAGCTTCGAGCGGGAAGATCGTGGGAAGCAACTTTTTGCTGCCGACTTCCGGGACTGCCTTGGTGCTACTACTTACTGCTGAAAAGCACGGAAGCGTAAAAGTTGGGAGATAAGGAGACAGAGGAGTCGCATACGTGAGTTATGTGAATAGGTTTTGTCTCAATAACGAAGATATTATTTCATCCTTTAGTTTCGCCATAGGCCATACCGTGTACTCCATCATCGTTGTTCCCCCGTGCATCTATTCCTTCCCTTCTCACACGTTGGTTTATATCAGCGGGGCCTTTAACAGTTTTCATTAAGTGGTGGTCCACGCATAACACACCACTGTGCAGACCAAAAAGATCCTGATTGAATTACAAAGCGAGATGCAGAGCTACTCTAACAACTAGCTGTGTCCGCTGGAATTTCTGCATCTTCCCATTTTCTCATCTCCTCCATCCGAAGCCTGCCACCCATCCAAGCGACTGCTGGAATCGCAGTTACTGCACTCAGTAATCCTAGTGTCCATGTCACAGTACCCCATCCCGACCGGTCAATGATCATGCCGGCCCAAAGCGAACCAACGAGACCTCCTGCAGTGAAAGCCTGTCAGGAAAGACCATATGCCTGCGCATATGCGCCAGAGGAGCTGAAGATACCTGGCTCCTTCATTTCCTTCGCTTCGATAACGTAGGCGATCTCGGCCATCGCAGGGGGCAAGATTATATTGACACATAGCCCTATTCCAAAAAGAAGGATGACCAAAAGTACTTTTTGAGACATGCTGTTATGCGTTACAAACTGCAGACAGACAAGTCATGGGCAAGCGAGCAGGAGAGAGGTTGCTGCTAACCAACGCGGGCCATATCGGTCTGACATCTATCCCGCCACAGGGCTTACCGCAGCGGGTATCGCAATTGGGAGAAAAATCAGGCCTGCACCGATTGAATCCCATCCGAAAGTATCGCGGACGAAGAGGGGAATAATGGTGTCGAACGATGCAGTGAGTGCCACTTGTACTAGACTGACACCAATGGCAACAGCAAAGCGCCGGGAAAGAAGTAGCGTGAAAGAAGCAGGAAGTTTGCGCTTGCTTGTCGGGCTAGTCTGCCGACCTTCAAAAAGAGCTCTTCTAGGATCTAAACTGTCGTAGAAGAGCTTTTTTAGAATCTAAGCTAAGCAGCCGCAGGTGACGACGTATGAGCAATGAGCCCACCTCCGGGCTCTGTGGCGGCATATATTTTAACCTGGAGCTTAGACTCACAAGCTTATCTTTGGGCGTCGTCGCTGGTCCTCTCCGTGGTCGAGTCTCCCGAAGTCTGCTTGGTTCTCGATCAAGTAACAGATATCCGCATGGGAAGCAGGCTATATAAAACGTCGCTCAGCAGGGTTTATAGAGATACGTATTTTTTTATAAGCAAATAATTATCACATACGACCATAGACTCAATAGAACTGGGCATCCCGTCCGCTCTGCCATACATAAACTTGAGATCGGTGGATTAGTAGTTGGGTGGGTGACCACCAGCGAATACCCACTGTTGTATGTTTTTTGTCTTTTTATACAACGGATTTTACCTCTCCTGGGTTTGCCATGTCCACACTTCTTTTGGCAAGGGTCTATCGGTACAATCTTGGAGCGTTTTCAGAAATGCATTCATACATACAGTACTAGACCACTGCTATTAACCGAATTCCAATTTGACATGTAAATCGCGTCACGTAACCCACCCCTCCTTGTACAACAACCATAATTATGCCACCAACTCGGAGGGCTTTGGCTCCAATTGATGGGAATCGACAGCCTGGTGGCCAATTAAGCCCATACCAACGTGGGCAGATTCTTGGGAGGCAGTCAGAGGGTGCAACACCTACTAAGATTGCACACGACCTAAACCTTGACCGAAGCACCGTACAATATACAATTGCAGTTGACTCAATACGCACTGAAGGCAAGAGCCTACCCCATACACCACGGGGAAAGTCATATATAGAAGCAGAGCAATGCCTTATACTCTGCCACGTATGCCTAACCCAAAGGATACATACCAAGAAGTAAAGGATGCTTGTAATGTTGCTTGCTCAACATCAACTATAAAGAGGATACTACAAGAAGCAGGCATAGGCAATTGGCGTGCAAAGTGTTGCCCTTTCCTACTGCCAATACATGCAGCTAAACGGCTTGCATGGTGTTTAGCACGGAGGAATTGGACAGCAGAGGATTGGGGTCAAGTTGTGTGGAGTGATGAGTGCTCTGTTGAGCGGGGGCAGGGTAACAGGATCGAGTGGTGTTTCCGCACACCTGCTCAGAAGTGGCAGCGGGAGATGATCCAAACCTACAGTACAAAGAAGAACATGAAGATCATGGTTTGGGGGGCCTTTTGGGCAGAAGGCCAGAGCAATTTATACCTTATGGACCGTGACTTTGAGTCAAAGAAGTTTGGATATACTGCAAACTCATACCTTGAGGTTCTAGAAGCAGAACTCCTCCCTGAGGCATGCATTCAAGCAGACGGGTACTAGAATACTCATTTTTTATACTATATACTATGGGGGCTTATTTTGTAGAGCTTTCAATTATAATTTACATCTATCGCTCTAAAATTGCATATGTTAACGAGCAAATTAATTATCTACGTTCGGTGGCTTCGCGGGTGGTTTAGTGATTCAGTTAATAGCAGTGGTCGGTGACTGTACACCGGTTTATGGTACCCCTGATACTTGACACAGCAGTTGAGTGACTCCTGAACATACGGAATTTGGTCTATCAAAATGAGAGTTCTCCTTCAGGGAGCGGGTCTCTGGCCATACGTTGTGGCTAAGACAGATAGTGTCACCAAGGATGGTACTGCTGAGCAACAGAAGGCAGGGACGATCATTGCGACAGCTCTTGGTGATGAAGTCATCAGTAGACTGGCATTTGAGGACTTCGAGGACGGGAGAGTCCTTTGGAAGACTCTTGCTAATACAGTCAAATACAGACTTCAACTCTGTATAATATCTATGCTTAGTCTCTGTCGCTAGTGATTACCTAATAAATCTCGTGAGACAAACAAGGTCTATTCGCATATGACAACCAAACGCCAAATCTAAAAAGATCAAACCAAAAGCACCATGCCACTTTTTACTTCTAACTCTATAGGCGGTTCAAGAGCAGCTTTCATTATCTTCAAAGTGTGATCTTATGAACCAACTCCACGTGACTTTTGAAATACTCCAACTTTTCGAGAACGAGCCCTTGCGACTTGCATATTGGGTGAAAACACTCTATCTTAGCCTCCAGGTCTCGTCCTTTAAGGTGAATGTTTTCAACATGATTCATCATCGTCGCAGGGCAGCAAAATTCACCTATCCTCTGTTTGTAGCTCTTCGATTCATCCCCGATGCAGAATGGGCACTGCTTCTTGCTGCAATCAAGGGGGAAAATGGGATCGAGGGGCCCGGGCTCAGGGGACTCTTCTTTGAAGATACTTGGAGGAATGCCGACGTGAAGACAGTATCGTGAGGGAACCTCACGGCATTTGCAGAGAGCCAGCATGAGTTCGGTGACCTGAATGTGACACTTGACAGCATTCTGCGGTGTGATATCTGTGATGCAAGGACAGATAAAATGACTCACTGCGTCCTCTGTGGGATCTGATGCTCAACCACTGGCTCGATGTACTCTTCATCGTGCTGTCCATTGTTATGCCTCTCAATGTCTTCTGTTGGGCGGCGGCAGAAATATTCATCCTGGAATTCCTGAGAGATGATGTTTCGACGCTTAGTCCTAGCACTACCGATCGCACCTGTAAGTCGCCGGACTTCTGCCTCGATGCTCATCCCCTGGATTCTGTACGCCCCAGTTTTCAATTGCTCTCACTCCTGCTCAAGTGCAGTGATAACAGGATCAGGGGGAAGCGCAGCTAGGTATTCATCAGGGACATGAACTGGTGCGCGAGGATCGCACATGAGACTCATATGCGTCAGCATGCGAAGGAGCCATCTACAGACGGATGTCCGAGGTGTCATACTGACATTCGTTGCACTCAGTTTGCTATCAAACTCAAGAGCAAACTTAGAAATCTCCTCCTCAAACCTACAAGTCACTATACATATTTTCGCTTGTCACACCAGCAACAAGAGCAATACTACTCAACAATTGCTACAACCCTCTATGATTCATTACACGTCATTGCTCCTTAGTTACTGGGCCGATATGACCACATAGCATATCTCTACAACCCTCTATGATTCATTACATGACATCACTCCTTAGTTACTGGGCTAATACTACACATGACATATCTCTATCAACTAGAGGCCTAGGAACATGAACGATAGCTCCAAAAGCTTCTACAACCATCTATGATTCATTACACGTCATTGCTCCTTAGTTACCCACAAGATTGGTTAAGTTATGACATAATTTGTCTATAGGGGTACTCTGACCTTGGACCTCCTTTTACTTCCTATGGGCTACGAACCTAGGAGATGGTTCTATGGGATTCTCTTACATCGACTACAGTTACCAAGCCTGGTTAGTCATGGAAAGTCTTGGAAAATGAGAGAACTACACTCCTTTAGCATAAATAGGATTGCCCTTTCCTTAAGAAAGAGGAAGCAGACAATACAGTAAATCGACTATCACATACTTCCACATCTTTTCCAAGTTCCAAGCATTGATCTTGTTACTCCTTGTTTCTGAAAAGTCAGTGAGGTGTTAACCTCTGACTTATCCCTGAGTTCTCAGACTCAACATTTGTTGCAACTTGTCTGAACCACTTCACTACATCACACACCTGATTGCTGCGTTGTGGAATAGTCTAAGCTACAACCCTTTGGCTCTGTTTCCTAAGACAGTGTGTTGTCTTAGTAAAATCATCCCTTTTCTTGGGTGGCTAGATTCTCACATCTGGTGCACCCACCATTACACTGCTGTTGAAATAGTGGCACTACAGAAGAAGCTCTACCGCCCTCCCTACTAAGATCCTGAGAAAGAATAGCTTATAAAGCTTGGCAAATGCTTCCATTGCCATGAAAGTGGTCATCACGATCGCAACTGCCTACAGAAGCAGAAAGTTAGAGTCAATGAGATCTCTACTACAGAAGAGCATGCTCAATATGAGTCGGGAAACGAATAGCCTCTAGAGAAGACGTCGCTAGAGGTTCTACAGCAAGAATTGCCTCCTCTGCACATTTTGACTATGACACTCTGTTCTTAGCTACCTGCAGAATAGGAAGAAATCAAATTGTCATTCAAGCCTTAATGGATAGCAGTGCAACAGGTGGAAGCTTTGTGAATGCTGTTGATGCAAAACAAATTTGTGAAATTGAAAACATCTCTCCTATCAAACTTATAAACCAAAGAACATTGAAGGATTTAATGGAGCTGCTAGACCTATAGTCACACATGCTATATACCCTCAACTACAAATTAGAGACCACGTTAAAAGTCTATGCCCTCTATTCATTACTACTCTTAGGAAACACTCTATCATTCTTAGGAAAGCTTAGATGAATCAGCATGGAGTAATGCTTGACATGGTAAATGACCAAGTCATCTTCACAAAAGGTCATTACCAGCACACTACACTAACGGATACTCAAGAAACTACATGTCCCTAAGTTGATAGCAAAATTCAAGAACCGGTCTCCCAACCTCTACGGACGAACCCTTGCAGCATTGCAATGATTGGAGCTGCAGCATTTAATATGCTTCTAAAGCAGAAAGGAGCACAAGTCTTTGCAGTTTCATTTAAAGACATACTAGAAGAACAAGCAAAAGAAGAAGCAATAGAGATCGACCTAAAATCAATCCTCCCACAAGAGTTCTATGATTATCTTGATGTGTTCTTAAGACAGGTAGCAGACAAGCTTCCTCCTCATAGATATGCAGATCATCACATTGTGGTTAAAGGAGACTCAAAGCTAGGACATTCGCCCCTTTACAATATGTCAAGAGAAGAGCTCAACCTTGTAAAGAAGTATATTGAAGACAACTTGTCTAAAGGATTTATTGAAGCTAGCAAAGCTCCCTTTGCCTCTCCTATACTTCTTTACAAGGTCGAGGTCTTCTCTTGACATATTGTAAAGACAACTGGGTTGAATATCTTTACATGGCCGAATTCACAGCAAATGCCCTTCCATCAGACTCAACAAAAGTTAGCCTATTTTTTGCAAACAAGGGTTGTCTAGGTGGTTGATGTCTAGGTGAAGCGGGAAACGCAGTAGGGTAGTAGTCGCACAACGACCTCATTTTGCGCCATCTAATCCTGTCCCTTAGCTACTGTTAGAGTCCCTCCTTGTCTAAGACGTTGTTTTCTTGTCCTGTGACACCAGCTTAGTAGGTGGTTTGTCTCTCGAAGTGTCTTAACCTCTGCCTCTAGAAGGGCCATCCTATGCATAAAGACATGTGCTCCCTTCGCTAGACAATCAATCCCTTTATAGATTGATGTTAGAGAGCTTCCTTAGTGATGTGAGATTCAGTCCTTAAGTAATTGAGATTAGGAAGCAGCCTCATTAGCGCTAGTAGGCGTCTTAGAAGTCCAACTTTCTATGACTCCATTAGAGGTCCCTAGAGGTGTTGGTGTCTTTAACTTGATATCTAGCTTCGACAGGACTGCTTCTAGGTTATGTGGAATAAGTCCTACACCTCGAAAACCTCCTTGGACATTATCAACAGTCATTGCCTCCTAGAATGCAGTGGCAAACACTAGGAAGAAGTCCTCCTTCAAGATGTGGGTTACACCTGCCTGTATCTTGTCCTTAATTTACTGACTATAGGCCTTCTTAAGTAGGCCAAAGAAGCCAACATCGAGAGGCTAGAGCATATAAGATGAGTGAGGGGGCATATACAGTAGAATGATGTTCTTTTCCTTATAGTAAGAGTCGAATTCAAGGGAGTGGTGACTTTCGTGGCCATCTAGAATAAGGAGACGAAATCTGCTAATTGTACGCAGCTTGGTATGTTTCTCGAAATGCTAGGCCCATTCTAGGCCAGTTTCATTTGTCGTCTAGCCATTTTAGATATAGAAATAGCTAGTAGAGATGAGTTGGGTACTTAAAAGGTGGGTTTTACCTACTACTACAATGAATGGCAGTATGCACCAGCCCTAGGAATTAACCGCTTGGATTACAGTAACCCATTGTTGATTGCTAGACTGTACTAGTTTTGTGCTTAAGACTCTCTCAGAGCTTGTTACAACTTTTTGTGGTTCTAAAGTGATCGTACGACGGCAGATTAAGGAGTATATATGTAGGTTGGTGTTAATCATATTAATAAACCAGACTTCCTTACAGCTTACCTTACGGCCCGTAAAGAGTTTATGACTATTAATACAGTCTGTAATGGATTCACAGCTACAGTTCTAGTTTCATACGACCCTGAATGGGTGCTATCGAAGCTAAATACTCAGTTACCAACACTAATTCTGCCTGTGATTGTTTCTCCTAAGGAAGGCCGTTAGGTGTCTCACAGCTACAGCAGGACCGACCAACAACACCAGTGTTCCCCAGAATAGTATTCGGCGATGAGCAGTATTCGGGCTAAAATTGGGGTATTCGGCGAGTATTTGCCAAAGACTCAAATACTATTCGAGTCCTTGGCAAGCACGGCCCAGGATGCCAAGCTACGAAGATTTTACCCCGCCCTCATAGATAGATCCGTAGAAATAGATCCATAGATAATATACCAATTGATATTTCTACCAGAATGAGCGACTCTGAGCTATCCGCAATTCCAAGTGACGAAGATGAGGAAATCCAGCATCTACCACCCCCTTTTCCATTCGAGTCTTCACCGTCGATAGCTCTACCATTACTACAAATACGGCCACAACTCCCAAATACTCAGTCACCGTTGTTCTTAAAGAATGTATTCAGTAGAACATTGTTAAGCACCAGCCCTGTCTGTATGCAAGATGGCTGTAATTATAAGCCAAAACCAAAGCTTTTATCATGGAATATCACGAGTAATTTGTGGAGGCATGTTGAAAGCATGCATCCTGCATTATACGAAGCTATAAAACCAGGAACTCCATTGCTACAGCATGCTCAGAGTTCACAGAGTCAGAGTTCGCAGGATTCGCAGGGCGCTCCGAATATGAAAACAGCCTGAAACGCCCAACAATTCTTTACTCCTCGAGTAGGAGGATCCGTTCTTGCCTCTCGATATAGAGAGTTATTACTTGCATTTATTGTATCTAATAACTTACCAATGAGTCTGGTTGATCGGCCTTCATTTCGTCAGCTTATTCACCAGCTTAGCCCTTCAACGTTAGCTATATCAACGAGCTCCTTAATGTGTGATTTACACAAGACATTCTGCAACCACCGTATGAAGCTACAGATAGAACTCCAGGCTCATATAATAAAGGGCGGACGGTTATCACTTACGACTGATTCATGGTCTGCAATGAATGGTGCAGAGCACGCTGCAATAACTGTTCATTGGATAAATAACGAATGGGTTCACCAGTGTCACGGTTCACCAAGGCATAGGGCGCCAGTTGGGTATTATGAATTAAACTCAATCTAGAGAAGAAAAGAAAGAGAAGAGGAGCACTCGAGCAGTGGCTCGATCTATATACAGCTATGTTGTTGTGGAGTGAATTCTCTTTAGCGAGACCAGTTCTGAGAATTCACTCCACAACTGAAAACTTCGCTCCAACCCCGGAAAGCTCCCCACACCCCTGAACCCCCACTCGAGCTGCAAGGCGCACTTGATATCGTAACAACCAGCACTGTGTTCTTGATATCATACATCTAAAGGAGCCCATTCATTCCGGTGAATATCTTGCAGAGCAGCTTCAAGCTGTTACGGACGACTTTGGTATTACGAACGGAGTCTTTACAATTACTAGAGACAACGCATCGAACAATACAGCAATGCTCGCAGAGTTTGAAATAGGGGCATGCACGAGCGTCGTTTCTATACAGAAACCATGGAGCTTTACAGTAAAGGAAGGCGACGTCCGATGCATGGTACACATTATAAACCTTGCGGTTCAAGCAGCTTTAACTATGTTAAAAGCTGTACCATCAGAACAAACGGAATTATATAGGCTTAAGCAAGGCTTAGCTCATACTCAAGGCTTCGTTCTTAATAAAGAAGAAGTGGCAACGGTTCTTATAAAATTACGCCGGCATATCTATGTCTTCCGGAACCGTCGAGCATGGAAATATGCATTGAAAGTACAAGCATCTGCTATGGGTATTCAGGTGGTTTCAATGTCCCTCGATATGCCTGTACGATGGAACTCAACATATTATATGCTTGAGAACGCTTTGAAGCTTGAGCAGCCGATCAATGCTTTATGTGCTTCGCAAACGATGGATTTAAGTATGCGTGATATTATCATTACATCAATAGAATGGCAAGTGTTACATGGACTAAAGGCGTTCTTTAAGATATTCGTCAAACCAGCAGAGCAAATTCAAGCAGATAATTATCCAACGTTGAACGTCTGTATTCCACACTATCTACAGCTTTTAAATAAGCTTAAGGCAATGGAAAACGCTCCATCGACAACAGCAGCAATCAGCGCAGCTTGTAAAGCATCGTATAATAAGCTTGATACTTATTATAACCTTGTGACAAATCAAGGCTCAAGCCACTCGTCAATTGCTACTATCTGCGACCCAAGATTCAACTTAAGTATATACGAATTTTATATGCCAAATAGTGTAGACACTGTAAAACGAGATAGGGCAAGAGCACAGTTCGCAGCTTGCTATAACCAGTATAAAGACCGTGAGAACGATATACAGGTTGCTGCTATTGAAGCTACTATTGCTGCTGAAAACTGAGCAGCGACGACTCTAAGAGAACTTGATTCCGACGACGAGATGTATCAGCATTGTGGGCCTTCTATTGAGGAAGTTGAGTGGCAACGATGGTTCAAAGAGAATGGTGTCGACCGTAATACTAATATCCTCAGATATTGACAGGCAAAGCAGTATCAGTATCCAGTTATATCACGGATCGCACGGGACTATTTGGCAATTCCAGCCTCATCGGCAGCGTCAGAGCGTATATTTAGTGTCGGCGGTGATATAGTCACAAAGAAAAGGAACAGGTTATTACCTTCAACTCTTCGATATCTACTCTGCCTACGGGATTGGGGGGTTATAGGCGACGAGGAGGAGGATAATAGCGAGTAGACAGTTATCATATTTCATTACTATATACTACAGTTGAGCCTCAAAATACTCAAATACTATTCGGCGAGGATTTGTATGAGTACAGTCAAACCTCGCCAAGACGATCCTCTTTTAGCCAATAACCTCTTTTGTGCGATATTTTTCCACGGACTGATACTTTTACCATACAAAATACGATTCAACAATCATCGTCTTTTCCAACCTGTTCATTGTCTTAACGTGGCCATTAGACACCCAAAATGCCTCGAAAAAGGCCGATTACAGTCGACCAGCGGCGTGCCCTTCGACACTGGGCCCACCAAGAAGTTCCAAAGCCAACTCAGCGGCAGTGTATCGAATGGTTTAAAAGACAATATCATCACAAGTTAAGCCAGTCGACTATTTCTGAATCACTAAGTAGCAACTTTGAGGCCCTTGATAAGAACCAAGACACTGGAATTCAACGCCGTTGACTAGGCCAGTGGCCAAAGCTAGAGAATATCCTTTGGGAGTGGCAGAATCGGATTGAAGAAAAAGGAGGGTTTACAACTGGCGATATACTACTCGTGCGGCCCAAAAGTTTCCACAGGGTCTGTGCACAACAGCCAATTAGATTGTAGGAATCTATCAAGCACCATGTACTTGTACCCGAGTACACGCGTAGAAAATGTACACGCATAGAAAATGTACACGCATAGAAAATGTACACGCATAGAAAATGTACACGCATAGAAAATGTACACGCATAGAAAATGTACACGCATAGAAAATGTACACGCGTAGAATATGAGAGTGAATGAAGCAATGAAGTAATGCTCAACAATGGCTGAAATCTCAATACCACTACGTGCTGCAATTATTACCTTGCGTGTATACATGAACGCATCATATGGAGAGATTGAAAAGAAGCTTGGAATCTCAGCTGACTCTATTGCATATATATGGCACCAAACTGTTAAAAGGGCAGGGAATACTGAAATTCACAACCTTCTCCAACACCTCGAATCAAAGCCACGAAGCGGAAGACCACAGACAATTCAAAAGGATTCTGAAGAGTCACTACGCATACGGTCTTTGCTACTTGCAAATCCATTTGACACTTTTCAACAAGTTATTAATAAGGAAAATCTACCCTACGCACGATCAATTGTCGAACGAGTTGCAAAGAATCACTCAAGTGTTGAAATTCCACAACCTATTGTACGGAAAAACATCTGCCTCAAGCCCTACTTGGATAATATCATTCCTTCAGTACGATGGAAATTCTGCAAATGGGCACTATCCGAACTTGAAGCTGGATCAATTTTTATTTTCTCAGACGAATCATATATCAATTTCGGAGGGAATCCACATAAGAAACGACGGATAACAGTTCAACGGGGTCAAACAGCAGAGAGCATGGCAATTCAACAGAAGAAATCTTTATTTCAAGTTATGTTTTGGGGAGCAATGAGTTCAGAAACCTCTATCTTACGCCCTTCTCGTTCATGGATTCCTGAAAGTATAGAAGAGAAGCAGATACATGTGCAGAAACTACGAGAGATAAATGCATATTGGAAATCAAAAGCAGAGAATGAACTTGTTAGAGCAACAACAGTTGGAACTCTTGAGTACGGATATATGGAAACTCTAAATGCAGATATTCGGAATGGCAAAAGCAAATGGAAAAAGGCACGAGTTGCTTCACAAGAGTTTGGAGATATAGAGACATGGAGTAGAGGACGGCAATCAGAAGGGCAAGAAGTTTCAAAGGGCGGGATTGATTGGTTTCTATATCGAGAGATGGTTCTTATTCCTCTTCTCTTCCCCTACTTTCGAAAAGTAAAGGCTTTACATCCTACAAAACGAGTATGGTTTGTGGATGATAATGTAAGTCTTCATTTGAAGGCTCACCGATCATTGGAAGATTATATGAAGAAGGAGGGAATCTATAGAGTGAAATTTTGGCCTCCAAACTCTCCCGATTTGCACCCTATTGAAAATGCCTTTGATTATCTCAAGGATCAGGTTGATGGCTATACACCATTAAACGGAGGGAAGTTTGAGAGAGCTCATGCACGGGTATTTCTTGAGGAAGAATGGGGGAAAAAAATGGATGGGAAATCTACACAATTATGTGCTTCGTTTAAGGACAAGTTGGAGCGGTGTATTGCAGTCAATGGGGGGAACAACTTTCGTGGGTAGATCAGTACAAGTACGTAGAGTATGTACATGCATTTTCTCCAAGTACTTACACGCCCCACTTATTACACACAAACCCTGTGGAAACTTTTGGGCCGCACGAGTACAGCAGAAGGCACAGCAGATCTGGAAACGACTGCCAGAATATGCTGGCCAAGAGTGCCCATCGTTTTCTACTGGCTGGCTCGAAAAATTCAAAAAGCGGCATCATATACAATCACGACAGTGGTTTGGAGAGGCAGCATCAGTTCCGGAAAACGTCGAGGAAGAAATAAGGGCACTACGGACAATAGCAGGGGAGTTTCAAGAAGAGGATATATACAATATGGACGAAACTGGACTCTTCTGGAAGATGATGCCATCACGAGGCCTGTCATCGCAACTCCAATCTGGTGTGAAGAAGAATAAGACTCGGATCTCCCTGGTTTTCTGCGTCAACGCTACTGGAACAGACCGACTCCCTGTTTGGGCAATTGGCCATGCAAAAGCACCTCGAGCACTACAACGAATCAATATACCAACAATGGGGGCACAATGGAAAGCGAATAAGAAGGCTTGGATGACTGGAATACTTATGAGCGAATGGCTTCAAGCCTTTTATCAGCATATTGGAACTACTCAGCAAATACTCTTAACAATGGACAGCTTTTCAGCACACTATACAGGGGCTGAGCTTAACCCTCCTCCCCCTAATATCCGCATTTGTTGGCTTCCAGCTAACAGTACCAGTCGTTTCCAGCCTCTTGATCAAGGAATTATTCAAAATGTTAAAGCTTATTATCGACAACATTGGCTTCAGTTTATAATCGACACTATTGATTCAAATCAAGATCCACAGAAACTTATGAATCTTCGACTCGCTCTTCGCTGGATTATTTGTGCTTGGAATACAGAAGTTTCAAACACTACAATATACAACTGCTTCCGGAAATCTACACTTGTTTCAAATCCAATTAGCCTTCCAACAATAACGATGCCTACTGGAATACAAGAACTCTACAACCAAGCGATAACTACAGCATCAATTACAGACTCAATGGCTATTTCGAACTTTCTAAACCCTGTGGAAGAGGCTAGAGCGGTGGAAGGACAGACTACCGATGAAGAACTACTTGAGGAGATAATAGAGGGGCAACTTGGGCATCAGAACTCTCAAAATGATGACGAAGAGGAGGAGCAGCCTGAGCAGCCTGCGCCTACGGCAAAGGAGGCCCAGGATGCCCTCCAGATACTGATTGAGTATTCTGAAGGCCAGGATGCTCTTACTAACGGGGGCATATACGGGCACTAGAGCGGCTGCAAACAGCCATTGAGGCTATTCGAGCACAGTCACAGCAGCAGGTTACGTTAGATAGGTGGTTTACATAATATTACTCTATATAACGATATATACGATAAGACGATGGAAATGCTTGCTACGGATGCCATCGTCTTAACAAGGGTTTGACTGTATTCGCCGAATACTCCCAGATGGCGAGTATTCGGGAAAACCCCGAATACTATTCGAATACTATTTGGGGAACACTGAACAACACATCCCCACATCACACCAACCCGCCCACCTCATTCGTGGCCAGCGATTTCTAAATCCATCCCTGACCCCCAAAGGGGTAAGATCTCTACTGGCGCCTCCGACGCTAAACTACCTTAGATGGGCGTTGACAGCAGCGATCTCGTAATCAACGCCGATCGCACTACGTCACGAAAGAGGCGGAAGCTTATTTTGCTGGTTTTTGCTGGTTCTCTCTCACCTAAGCCGACGATGGGGCCGCTGTTGCCGTTCCCGTGCCGCGCTAGGGTAATTGGGGAATACAAAGGGAGCTAGACTCGGCGTACGTAAGACGAGCTGTGAATGGTAGGCAGCTAGGCAGCTGATCTGCGGATACGAGTTGCCGGCGAGCGGGGAGCGGAGACGATGCAACCTTCTCTCGGAACGCCATGAGCTATTCATTCGGCAGTGATGAATTCCTGCTGGCAGAGGCAGTCAGTGCCCGTGCTTGGGTGCGACGATGCTAACAGCCATGTCAGCGCTGATCCACTGCGCCTGCTTGCTGATATGGCTGGCGGGAGCTCGGGGCGCTGTGGCGGAGGGCGCAGGGCAGCGAAGGACGGAGCCCGTATGGAGGGGATGATGATTTCCCTGCGTGGTGGAACGGGGATTGATGTAAATGCTGCTGTACGTACGTACGGTTACGAGGCTTGGCGGGGTTGGCCCGAAGGGGAATGTGTCGGTCGGCGCCCTGGTGATGGGGAGGGTTGTTTTCTATAAAGGCGAGCTGCTCGTCCGGTGTTGAGATGTTCTTTTCTGCGTCAAGCATTCAAAGTCTCATCAGTCTCTCACAAACACACCCTCGCTCTCATACCAGCCAAACCACCACCTTCAAAATGCACTACTCCTCCATCCTCGCCCTCGCCGGCGCCGCCTTCGCCGCTGCCACCCCAGCCGTCACCACCGCCCGCGCCGAGGGCACCTGGACCCTCCAGGGCTTCGTGCGCACCTGCAACGATACCGCCAACACCTGTAACTACAAGTTCAACCTCAAGGACAACAAGTCCGGCCGCGTCGACGCCTGCGACTTCGCCGACATCGCCGACAGCACGCGCAAGGCCCGCTGGAGCTCCCCCTCCAACTTGCACTGCGCGGCTAACTCGACCGTCTACGTTAACGTCGGGTACGACCAGCCTGGAAACTTCTTCGTGGTTGTCCCGGTTAACCGTGAGACGTCGCTGAATGGTTTCTTTGGATACACTGCTGCTGAGCTCACTGATGGATCGGTGGTGACGCCGGATCACACTTCTCCTTCCCTGGTTGTCGAGACGTGGGAGAAGAAGAAGGCGGCGGGCGCTGCTGTTATCGGCCGCACTGCCACCGCTAACCTTGGAGCCTGGACTGTCGAGGGACTTCACAGGAGTACGTTCTAACCCCCCGTCCCACCATTACGCAGCTGAACAAAAGACTAACGCGCACCAGCCTGCCAAACCAGCAAAATCTCTACCTGCAACTACTCCTTCCAGATCAACCAGAACGACGGCTCCAAGAAGACCAACTGCTACCTGACCCAAAAGGGCGCCCCAACCCAGAGCTTCTACACCGCCGTCTGCCAGAAGCAGGTCGACTGGGTCATCTCATGGGGATACAATAAGCAGTACGGATTTGCTGTTATGACTGTTGTCAATGTCCCGAGACAGTTGGATGCCTTCTTCGGATTCAACGATGTTAACTTCGTCACCTACTTCCCCAACATTGGCCCTAACCCAGTTTACGCTTTGTAAGCAACGGCATGGCCACCGTCTATCCCGCTTGAATGAGCGGATTTGAAAGGGGATGAAAGAGAGAGATCTAATTTACATGATTTACTGTTCTGCATTTGCGAGGATGGGCATTGGAGGTTCTTAATTATGCTTTTGGGGTGTTTGCGAGGATATTAAGAGATGTCTGAATTAGTTAATGAAATTTACATTGGAATGATTTTATTAATTTTTCTACTTCGCGGGAGATTTTGAATGCGAGTGAAATGTTCTGGACGAGGAGTGAGACGGTTGCCCGCTATCGTCTATATGCTATTAGAGTCATGTGGTCGCAAAGTCATGTATATACTTGGAAAGTCATGCGCGAAACTATAATGTGCAGAGGATAATTTTAAATTTCCAAACTATGAATTATGCAGTCTGTGAAAATTATACGGGAGTTATCGTAGTTCAATTTCTTTCATGATGTGGTTTGCTCTGGAACTTTTTGTGATAGTGTCGTTGTCTGTTTTGGCGGATTAAACATATCGCGCCTATCGCGGCTGTGGCCAACGTCACATCTGGACTCATCGTCCCCTTAGCCGTGACAATGAGGTTTAAAACCTCTCTGAGGAATATAAAGACATTCTCCAGTAATTATCCTGTCCCGATTTTAGCTATGTACCCTTTCTGACGTGATTTTAGAGTTAACGGCGTCTCTGGCGACCCTGGGGAAGATTGCCTGGGTCAGGCTGGATGATGAAAATGTGCGGTTCACTATAATCCCCGAGCAGGGATCGCAGGTCTGGGCGTATGATTCTTCAAATCTATATAGCAGAGAGAGATAACTAACATGCATGCAGCTGTATCTCAATTGACTCTCTCTTCTACGAGTACTCAGTCCAATCGCGCATCGAGAACAACACCATCAACATAGAGCTTCCCCTGGCACCTCTCCAAACAGCCCTCAGATCCGCCGAAAATGCCACATCCGCATCCCTGCGCCTTACCAAGAGAGATGGCGACGCGATCCTGTCCCTGACAATCATCACCAACACCGTCAGCGCCGGGAACACCAATGGCTTCCTCCGCAACCGTCGCGACGACGACCCCTTCGCCGACGACGACTTCCACGAAGAGAGCCTCGACTCCCGCAGCGCCGCCGAGCGCGAGACCATCGTCACCCAGGAAATCCCCATCCGCGTCCTTTCCCCCGAGGGCGTGGAAGGGATCCACGAGCCTAAAGTGCGGGACTCGGATGTGCACATCCTCCTGCCGCCGCTGCTGCAACTCAAGGCCATTTCGGACCGGTTCACGAAGCTCGCGTTTGCGACGACGACGAATACGGCGGCGGCGGTGAATAGTACTGCTAATACGCCAAAGTTGGAGTTGAGTGCGAATATGCATGGGAGTTTGAAACTGAGTATTACGACGGATGCGCTGAATATTGAGAGCGTGTGGAATGATTTGACGAATCCGGATTTGGAGCCGAATCATATTGAGGGGGATGTGGATGATTTGCCGACGGAGAAGATGAGGGCTGCGGGTCCGGATGCGTGGGCGACGGTGAGGATTGATGGGAAGGATTGGAGTCGGGTTCTTAGTGTGGGGAGGCTGGGTGGGAAGGTTATTGCTTGTATGTTGTTGTCCGATGATAAATTGGAGTGTTTACTGACCTTAATCTGTTATAGGTTTTGTGGACAACCATGCGTTGATCCTTTATGTGTACCTGGCGAACTATGAAGACCCCGAGGCAAAAGAATCTGTCCTCACGGTGAGTTTAAGCTGGCATAAATGAGGATGCTGTTTCTAACTTTGCAAAGTATTATATTAGCTCATATGCTCGCTGATGTTTGGAGGGTATCTGCGCAATTAGAGGAGTTGGGGATAGTCATTGGCTTGGCATGCAGGTTTGTCTGGCTTCGAGGTGAATTCAGGAGTTATAGGCGAAAATTGTTTTTGCTATTCTAATTCGGATGTTCTCAAGAAGCAAGCGAATGGCAATTACTCTCCTGGCGTGTGGCTCTAATAGACCCCGTGAGCTACGCGTGAAGCGCCAGCCCCGGTCCTTACCAACTCGATGCAAATTCACTCATCCGGCCTCCACAACCCACAGGCGCTGACCAGGCGAGAGATATCTCAGTCTCTGTTCTTTAAGATCCTCACAGGAATTAATCGCTTGTCTTCATCGGTTAATTATCTAAACCCAGACCTCACACACACCCTTCTGTTATCCCCTTTAATTCATTGACATGGACCTTCCAAAATCAAACTTCATATTCACGTCTCATACTACTCCAACTATTCTGATTTGTTCTTACTACTTGTTCCTTTGTTCACGGGCAGCTTCAACGCTTGCATCTACCTCAAGAGTAAGTTCTGAGTTTGGATTGATACCACTTTACAATATGGCTAATACCCCGTCACAGTGCCACCAAAAAGATGCATCGAGGATGTTGATCCCGCAGTCCGAGAGGCTGTAAAGCGGATTCGAAAGCTGACATTTCATGACGGAGCAACAATTGACGGTTGTCTTGAAGCATACTTGAAGCATCAAGCCATCGACCCAGCAGTCAAATCTCTCAAACACCAGCGTCAGCACAGAGATGCCGCCAGGTTCAGAGAACGCATGGAGGCCGCCGCCACGAAGACGCTGTATGAAGCTGCCGGACTACCAGAGCCCAGCCCGGATGATGAGGAGGCGAAAAAGCCTTGGTATCTCGCGGATGATATGGATTTGGGGGAGGATGAAGAGCTCGTGGAGAAAATGGATTCAGATGTGGAGGATATGATAACAGGCGGCAGAGTGGAGACAAGGCAAGGCAAAAATCCCACCACGTCGGCACGAGGACGATCCGATGGGTTCAATCCCTCAGTATACTTCACGCCGTACTCGGCGATAAAGAGAGACGTGTTTGATAGAGTTATTCCGGGATTGGAAACATACCAGCAGCCATCTGAGGAAGAGAAAACAGCAGCCACATTCAAATCGCATGCAATCCTTAAGGCAGCCTTCAAAACACACCCCCAAGAGATAATGCAACGCTTGAGCGACGCGGAGTTCATGACCTTTGGGAAATCCAACGAGCGTAACTTCCCAAGTGTGGACAAGGAATCAGTGGATAGGTTCGGCCGCGCCACTTTCAACTTTACGATGGCCTTCCCGGCTACGACTCTCGATAAAACTATCAAGGGCACCGTGATCAAGCTTAAATCACCAGCTAAAGATGGCACTACAAAGCTTCGAGTCATGAACGTCTCCGCTAGCCCCCTTTGGTCAGGAAGGACTGGGCTCCACACCCAGCCTGACAGAAGATGCCGAATGATACAACTCAACAGGCTCTCGCTCGAGGAGATCCACCTTGGGGATTACTACGCCCACGCATTTCACCCAGTCGCCCCCCACCAGTTCCCGCGCTTTGCCGAGCTCCCGGTTCTCGTGCAAGACCTGATATGGGAGTTCTCCTTTGAATCGCGCGTCGTAGAAATCCAATACGACCCAAAGTTCACGCGCATTTGGTCCCCGACGAAGTGGCCAGCGCAGAGCCTCGCGTGCAAACAAAGCAGCGCTATTATGAGGCGCGTGTACGAGATATCACCATTCGGCGATGCGACGGCCAGGAGGGGTCTTTTGTTCAACTTTGATATCGATGTGTTATTTCTCACATTCGAGAAGAGAGACCTTGTTAACAGGGAGGGACAGGTGCCGCTGCGCATCAAGAAGCAATCCAAGGTGGTGGTGTCATTTCTGCAATCACTCCCTCCAGCTCAGCTTCCGAAAATACTCCACCTGGGACTTGACATGCAGACCTGGAAAATGATTGAATACGACATGTACCAGCTCCGGAGGAGAAGACACAAGGTCCGTGGTCAAGAAAGGTTCATCCTCCCGATTCTCACTGGATTGATGAGCTTCCGGATCATCGAGAACTACAATGTGGGGTGTTGGCGGATAAACAGACAGATGGGCTTTGAGGCGATGTCTCACGAGAATCTGGTGGCCCGGCAATGTCCACCCAGAGATCTGGCTGTGGACATGAATTCGGTCCGTTTTGATATTTCAGAGTTGATGGCAGGACGCCCCGCACAGCCCGACGGTACACATCCGTGTTGGTGGAGTGGGTCGGGGGTAATGTGCATGACGAGGGTGGCTCGCTGAATGGCTGTGGCTTCATCATGAAGGCATACTTGTTTATATTTGCAGCGGCTGGTTTGCTTTAATTTGCCCATGATGGCCTATATACCCACCGCGATGCATAAGAACTTCACTTCTCGATATTACTATGTTGTGGTATTTATCGAAATTTATATATTCAGCCACTCAGTCGCTCAGTCACTCAGCAACTCAGTCACTCAGTACAGGCATACAGTCACTCAATACAGTGACATATTCATCAAACAAAGTCCAGTTAGTAAATTACATAATTGCTTTGTGGACTCGTAACCCCCGAATGTGATAATGCAACACAACCGTCCCTTAATACTTCGAGACTGCCAAGCTTCCGATACTCGCGCCTTAACCGCTGTCGCAACGCCATCCTGGCAATCGCTGCTATTATGCACAGTATTGATTTAGGCTCTTGCGAGGCACGGGTACCAAAGCTGTCACTGTTTCGCAGAGCTGTGTGGTAGAACGAGGCGGGATGTCGCGGCTGCTGGCTTGGTTACTCACGTTGCTGCGCCCCAAGATCATCCTCGCTTCTTCGTAAAATCATCCTTTAAGCGGCAAGTGGCTTTGATTCATACTGTGCCTGTTGGCAAGGCTGAGAGCAAAGGTAAGTGAATCCATAAATTATATAACATTGCGAGAATACAGATAACAGGAAGTCTTGTAATTATCTTCATACAAAGGTGGAATGAACAAGAGCCATCGCCTGCCACCTGTAATATGGAAGCCGAGGCCCCATCGACGAAATGGAAGGCTCTACTGGAGCTCCTATAGGAACATCAAACACGTCTCTGGCACCTGCGGAATCTACTGCTGTGCCAGAGCCTGGCGAGTCGTTTCGAGAGTATAGGATCACGCATTCTTCGAAGCACCGTGACTATCTCCTTCATATGTCAACACCCACATCTAAGTCAGAAATCACGCACTATGTTGGGAAAGTCTTGAGAATCTTTCCGTCTCTTCCAATACTTATCGCCTGAAAGTTAAACTCGGAGACAGCTCAAGAACAGTTCTCTGAAAAAGTACTCCCAGCCCCGATGGGTCCTCGGAGGCGTCGATATTCTCCAAATGCTACACCTGAAGCTTCTCGATGAGGCCACAGGCAAGTTGATATTGGCAGGCGAGGCTGAAGTCTCTGGTTCGGTGAGGCTATAATAGTAGCGCACGGACCAAGGGGACCACTGGGATAACAACAACATAACAGCTTGGTAGATTATAGCATCTATCCGCCTTACCTTGTTCCCAAACTACCTTGAACTCGCCCACATGGTTCATACGTGAAAAGAACTCGAAATGCGCGGCCAATGCTACACTGAAATTTCCTCATAACCTAGACCAGCAATTCGTGAAACCCCCACCACGGCCCAACAACTACTCGCTACCCCCCCGACGTCCAAGCCATGGCCTCTTCCACCCCCGACCTAAGCACGGCCACGGCCGCCGAAGTCTTCAAGCAGCCCCTCCCCACAGTCCGCCTGCTGCACCGCCAACTCCACACATCCCTCGATGAGAAGAATGCGCGCCTGCGCACGCTTGTGGGCGGCTCGTACCGACAGCTGCTGGGCACGGCTGAGATGATTGTGGATATGCGGCGCGACATTGAGGTTGTGGAGGCGAAACTTGGTGGCGTGGCGGATGGATGCGGGGTGGCTGTTGTTGGGCACAGGGTCGCTGCGCTGGGGAAGCTGGGGGCAAGGGCGGGACACGGTGATGCGGAGAGGAGGCTAGGAAGGGCGGCGAGGGTTAAGGTTCTTGGAGGCTGTGTGATTGCCATTGGACGATTGCTAAGAGGGAGGGAAGGGGAAGTGAGGAAAGGAAGGCGATTGGTGACGACGGCGAAGACGTTAGTGCTTTCAAGACTGTTAGTTAAGAGCTTGGGTGATGACGGGGAGGACGAGGACGAGGACGAGGACGAGGACGAGGAAGCGGTGATTGCGGAGTTAAAGAGGAAACTCGGGTCTCTGCGACGACGTCTACTGAGAACCGTGGAAAGGGCAATGGAGAACCTGGATGGGGATAGAGAAGAGCTGGTGAATGCGCTGTGTGCGTACAGTCTGGCTACAAGCTCGGGCGCGAGGGATGTGCTGAGGCAATTCCTGCATGTGAGGGGTGCCGCAATGTCGACCGCTCTTGACATCCAGGAAGAGGGAGATCTGGGCGAGGGAGGAATGCAAAAGCATATTATACACGCGCTGGGATTATTGGCCAAGACTTTGGTTGATGTGCAGGCATTGGTGCCGAGGCGGTTAGCTGATGCGCTTTTAAACTTGAAAGGAGATCATTTACTGAAAGATGAAGGTGTCAGGGAGCTAGAAGGCCTGAGACTAGATATATGCGAGAGGTGGTTTGGAGACGAAATCACATACTTCACGCCGTATATCCGGCATGACGATCTGGATGGCCCGCAATCAGTCGCAACACTAAAGGGATGGGCAAAGAAGGCCTCTGAAGTATTCCTGGAGGGCTTCGAGAAACTTTTAGAGGCAGTCCAGAACTTCAGCGCTGTGGCCGAATTAAGGACCAAGGCTTTCGAAGAGTGGGTTGCTGAAGGAGGGAAGGCCAGGGGATTTGATTCGTCCGTGATGCTTGATGGGTTACGAAAGGTTGTTAATGAGCGAATGGTTGGAATACTGGAAGCCAGAGTTGACAGGTTGCATCTCGTCAACACGGAGGTCGAGGCAGCTTTGGGAGTCATTGCATCTGGAGGCGTCGAGCGGCAAGGAGGCTTATGGGATGCTAAACTGCTGGAGATGGGGCTTGGCAACGGCGCCGTGGCGTTCAAGCAAGCAATTGTGAACAATGTCCATGGAAGGGATAACGCAGTCTCAAGAGTCATCAAGTCGTACGAAGAATGGAAACGCCTGGTAGATGAGGTAGCGACGGCAATCGACCAACTTAAGAAACAGAAATGGAACGACGACCTGGACAGCCTAGAGGATGAAGATGTGCTCGAAGAGAGGCAAAGATCACTGAGCCAAGAAGACCCAGAACAGCTCCAATCACGCCTGAAGGCGAACTTGGAGCAAGCTTTCAGCACCTTCCACACCAAGCTGGAAGCCTCATTCAGCACCTACGAAAAGAGCGAGCACGTAGGTGATACCACGATATTCATCCTCCGCGTTCTTCGAGGCCTACGAGCTGAGCTGCCCGAACAAACGGATCTCTCTTCCTTCGGGGTTTCGCTCGTGCCGAAGATGCACCAGGCTCTTGCCACAAAGATCTCGTCCGAGACGGTGCCAGCATACCGGGCTGCTTTGAGAGCGAGAAAGCGCGTCGTGGGACGCGCGCTGTGGGAGGGGGAGCCTGAATTGCCGATTTACCCCTCGCCGTGGACTTTTAAGTTCCTGCATGCGGTAACAGCGGCTATGGCGGGTGTTGGACGGGACTTATGGAGTCGGGCGGCTGTGGACGTGTTGAAGGGGTGTATGGGTGATGAGCTGGGGAGTAATATGGCCGCAGATGTGAAGTCTGCGGAGAAGGAGGCGCCGAAGACCAATGGCGATGGAGATAATGCTGATGACGAAACTACGGTTGAGAAGGCAGAGTCCGAGGATAAAGCTGTGGATAGTACTGCTGGGGATGCTGTCGATCCTGTGGTCGTTGCTAAAGATATTCTCGTGCAGACTTTATTCGACACCGTCGTTCTCCGGCTCTGTCTGTCGGTGTCCGGCACGCCCGAGTCCAAGGACAAATTGGTCGACCTCGAGAAGTCTTTGACAAAACAAGTGGATTTGACGCCTTCATCAAACGAGAGGCTCACCAAGTCGGCCCAGGAATATTGGAAGAGGACGAGCTTGTTACTTGGGCCTCTAGCGTAGTATCATATCACATCATATTCCATCCATTATTTGTTCATCCCGTGATTTTAGAGCCGCGAAGTGTCGTCGCTTCAGTCTCGTGAAGTGTTTGTAGTCTGCAGTGGACGGCCGAGATCTCAACTCTTATAGCCAGATATCCTTATCTACAGGATCATTACATGGAGGTTTTACTATATCTCTGTCGCTACTCTCAGCCGTGGAGTTCTCAAGAACAAAGAACCGCGTTTCCACAGTACCGCTTATTAGCTGGGTGCATACACACAACCTCACTTTTGACCCAAAAAACTACCTCTGCTCGCCCTCCCTTCACAACGCAACTCACCCGCAAATCATCTTATGGTACTTGCCAACTCTGTCACCACAAATACATCTCACTACATCCCACTGCATCAACTATCACAAGCAACAAAACATGGATACGAACACGGAAACTTCTCTTGTTGTGCAGGGCCAACCAGGCACCGATGCAGCCACTAAGAAGCCCCGCAAGGTCTCCTTGTTCTGGCAAGTCATGTTAACAAATCTATGTCACCACCCACAAGAACTAAGGAATCACAGGCGACCGCAAGAAATTGTGTTTGTCATTTTCAGCAGAGATTTGGAATGCACAAGGAGCTGCTTTGCGCTACTTCGCCATTCTTCAAGGCGGCACTCGAGGGCAAATTTGAAGAATCAATTCGTGGTGAAGTAATTCTGGAGGATGTGTCCGTTGAAACCTTGGGGCTATCTAATGAGTGGATGTACACCAACAAGATCAGGGAGGATCCATGCCAGGAACAGGGTCTAACGCTCTCGGATCTGTACATCAAAGACAAGCCAAGCCATCGCCAACTGCTCGACGGCTGGCTCCTCGGAGACTATCTCCCGGTTACCCAGCTCCAAAACTACATCGCCGACAAGATGAAAGCTAGGTACACGAATCGGCCGGTACTTCCCTTTGTGGACTTTGTATATTTGTACGAAAAAACCCAACCAGGCTCACCGATGCGCAAGCTCATGGTGGATATGAGTGTCTGGAAGCATCGCGGATCAAACATTAAACAAACCCCGCGCGATATGGCCGCGGACCTAGGCTAGAAGGGCTAGAACGAGACCGCTTCCAGTTCGCCAGCTCCTACCATGTCCCAGTCAAGGCCTAGAAGGTGCAATCTTGACAAATCTGCCAACAATGAATCATCGGAGGTGGCCGTGTCGTGGGTGTTCTGTTAGAGGGAGAGCGAGGAGTAACTGCGAGGTTTGCGCTGTGGGAGGAGCGCCGTGTCCTGGTAGTTCACACATGGTGAAGTGAGAAAGACAACGAAATCAACCATAGAATTAAACTTTATGAGAGAAGAGCAATAGCAAACCTGTGATTCGATGATATCTTCAACTACAGCCACTGACGTTCTGATCCAAAGCCTTATGAGGCTCCGAGTGTTTCTGCCAAGCAATAGTTTCGTAGACCTGTAGATGCCATAAATCATGCATCCGCGAAGTAAAACCCTCAACCACCAAGCCGTCCCATATCCCCTCACCACGCCTCATCTGAGAAGTTAGAAATGACCTTCTAATCGGCTGCGCCTCGAACCCCGCCACTAGGACGCAGTGGGGCAAGAAGAAAGAAACCCGCAAAAAGGACCAGAGATCCCCCATCCAGCCCGTCCCACCACCAAATAGCACACACACATACGGCTACTTCGACTAGTGAATCTGCCCCTCACCACCGCCGCCACCTCGCCCGTCCATCGCGCGCTCGTTCCAGTCATCGCACCCAATCCAACCGGCAAACAACAATCCAGCCAACGCCAATCCCCCCCGCCCCATCACCAATCCATCCTGCACGCCATCTGCCGCTCCCTCTCCCACTCCCCCCCACCACAAATACAAATACCTGTCGCCGATCGCACGCCACATGCAGCGCGCGACTCGCGTGAACCTACCTTGGTAACAAACAAAACAGCAACCACCCTCCCGTCCAGCAGGCACACACACTCCAAGTTTCGCAAACTACCCTATCCGGCGAAGGCCAGCAAGGGGTTCTCCCGCAGTTTGGCCGCATAAGGGCGCTGTTGCGCAACGGGAGGGACGGTGCAGCCCTTACAGGAGTTACCAACGCCATGGAACAGATGGCTCGTCGGGTGCACCATCATGACTGCGCGGCGCGTGCACGGCCGCTGCGAGGCCAGTCCGGAATGGATGCGCAGGCCGTGCGGTGCGGCGCCGCGGCGCTGGCGAGGGATGCCACGCGAGACCCTCCATTCGGGGCGCCTGCCTGCACGTAGTGTGCCGCTACTGTGCTGTGCTGAGTGCAGGGCAAAAGTCGGTGAGGGGAGGGGAATAGGGGTCGGGAGCGCTGATGTCCGGTTGCTGAGGGAGGGGGCGAAGGGGGAAGGCTTCTGGACGGGAGGGGAGGTTCTATGTAAGGGGGAGGGGGGTTATGTGGTGTACGAGTAGGGGGCATATTGAGGGGTTGTCTCGCGTAGGTGGGAAGCCGAGCGTTTGTTTGTTCTGTGATGAGGAGATGGGTATCGGTGCTACTACTATGTTATAGTGCGTACTCGGGCTGCCTCTCGTGGAATTCCTGTGGTACGGTTCACAGCGGATGGATACAACAGTAAGGGATTCTGCGCCAGGAGCGCCGATGGGGTGGGCGACACGCTGCCGCCATGATACGATGGGGTCGGTGACGGGCACACAGGGCGGGTAGGGGCAGATTCTGCACTTACCCATGGGATGCTCGGTGAGGGAAGAATACACATAATGTCTCCGTTTGGCTTGAGAGGCGCATCATTAGTGTGTTTGTTGGGGAGGTAGTGGTGTGATGCCCTATTCCTTCAGGATCACAAAGTCACCTCTTCTCGTATGGCGGTCTAGGCGGGAAGTCAGTCGCGGTAATGCCGCTTACAATCATCCCTCGCAACCCAGCGCCGCCGTCGGCAGAGATGGCCGAAAAAAGCATCTGGGGTTTTGCAGGACTTATAGCACATGCAGTCACTTTATGGGCTGGAGTTACCCAAGGTTAGCAACCCGCCGTCTCATCTCACCTGGGGATTTTCGACCGTTGTTAGCGCTGTTGCCCGGCGCGCACCTGGGTGTACTAGAGGGTTTCAGCTGTTTCAGCTGGGAGAACATAACATGATTACATACCGTTAGCAGTAAGATCTGCACCGCCACCTGTAGCCCCCCCTATAATACCCCCATGCTAGCGAGCGCCACCTTGCTGGCGCCAAACCCAAAGCATATGTAAGTATGTCCTCACGTAGCATAATTATGCTCCGTAAGGTCATACCTAGACATGCCTACATGTAGATTAGTGTAAAAAAGTAGGAGCCTTAGGAGAGGCTCTACTCCAACTATGGCTATGAATAATGTGAATTAGGGCTAAGTAACTGGCCCTAGCAACTTCCTTCCTTCCTCTCTAAGCCCACTTGGTAAAGCATATGCTAATATTAATGTTGTTAACGACGTTAATATTAGCGACAGTCCACCTCTTATGGCAAGACCAAGCTGTCCCCTACCTACCGAGTCTCTAGACTCGTCTTAATACTACGAATATATATAGTAGAGAAGATACTCTCTTTATAAGAGTATCTAAAGTCTTATCAATTAAAGCGTGCCTACGCCTCGACTACGTGACATAGTATAAAGAACAGCCAAATAACTTTCTAAGTACGGATAAGCAAATCAACTAGGGGTCAACAATGTAAGGATGTCTCCGCCCTCAGTGACGGAAAGGACCGGAGTCAGGCAGGTTACAGTCACGTGGGGAGAGTTAGGGCAGGTTAGCCGAGTTGGACCCGTTTCAGGTACTTAAGGGGATTGACCCAACGGGGTTCCTCATCATCTTTTTTGTATCCTTCGTAGTAGACCTATAGGATACCATCCATTTAGCCTCTGACTCGCACTCTCATATGCTATTACTGTGAGCTGGGTGCCCTGTGTCCTTACATTATACAAAAAAGATCACGCCTGCCGGGGACGGCCGTACTTCAATAATACCCCACACCGGAACGACTCAGGAGAACTACCCTTACGACATCGACCGCGACTCAGTGACGTTTCGGAGGAGAGACCTGACAACTTCAAATAGCCGTGATTCCAGAGATCTCACGGACAGCCAGTGGATCAGGGTTTGATTCTTCAGAACAAGCTGGTAAAGCCGCTGACGCGTTGGCGCCAAATAGATACGAGATCCTTAAGAACCCCCTCCTAGCACAGAAGAAATTGTGGACAAGAGCGTTGATAGCTACGAGCTACCGGAAGTCAAGCTCTTTCGTATCGGTACCGATACACACCCGAGGCAATATGTCGAAAAAGCTGACATCAAACATACCCCAAGACAATGACAGTCAACTGCCCAGAATGACTACCAGACAAACCACCGCTGCAGCTACGACCGCTGTGCCATCCGAGGACATCCCGAGTCGAATGGCCCACCTAGAAGCACAGATACAGGAGGTCAAGGATCTACTAGTTACCCTGACGGCAGCCCAGACCAGAATCCCATCCACACCGCCAGTGGACGCCCCCATATCCACAGTCAAAGCTACGGAGCAACGAACGCCTCGCACATGAAACACCCCTGAGACAGTTCAATTGCCGCCTCTTGAGGACTTTCGTTCTCCATCGATCCCAAGCACGTCACGAATGCACACTGAGGACCCACCGACTCGCTATAAGAAATCTACCATCTCGGAGAGAATCACTCTGCTCAGTGATGGGATAGAACATACCTTCCTACAATGGAGCGCTTCTATTCGGGACCGACTCATAGTCAATGGGGACCACTACCTTACTGACGTCTCGAGAAGAGCGTTGATATGGGGAACTACGACCAGCCTGGCTAAGACCTACCTAGAGCCCCAATACCTGTCCGCTACGCATGGGTTCCGCAGTGCTGAGGAGATGATGGAGCTACTAGGTTCATACTACCCTACAGGCAACGAGACGGAACAGGCCAGGAACCTCTTCGACGACCTGCAAATGGGAGAGAAGGGGCATGCTAGCGAAACCTTCCCAGAGTTCAAGGGTTTCCAAAGTGCAGCTATCACAGGACAAGTCTCTGAGTCAGAATGGTTTCAGTACATGTGGAACAAGTTGACTCCCCAATTCCGCAGCCGCGTCACGATCATCAAAAACTAATCGAATGGAGACTACCAGACCATGGTACGAGAACTTACTGCCTTCGATCAGGAATGGCACCGGAACAACAAATTGAATCTGCTACCTGCCCCTGCAAGGACGTCCACACGTACCATGGATACAGCAAAGGCGCCGGAATCGAAGCCGACTCGAGCCACACCTGCTCTGTTTACCCAAACCACGTTCCTCCCCAAGCCAACGATGCTGGAGCGCGTAAAGACCGCAGTCCCAGCGTCCTCAGGAAACTGTTTCAAGTGTGGCAAGCCCGGCCATTTTCAGGACAAATGCCCCCTTAACGCTACTACCTTGTTGACTGTTAGGGTGCGACAGTTCGAAAATGCGGCATCGGTTGACACGGATTTCGTCAGCAATATCCCGCAATATACAGTGACTAGGAGCATATCCACTAATTGTTAGCACCTTAATCCACTTTAAAAGTGTCTGCTCTTGCGATGGCGATAGCAGTTGTTGTTGTTGTCGAGCTTCTCTCCGTGACAGTTTCCCATTAACGTGTTGAAGGACTGTGTCTGGCCGAAGGTGTAAAGCCTTTGCAGCACCGTACGAAGATTTGTATAATCCGGATTTAACTCCAGCAACAGCTTGTGCCAATAAAACTTCTAGTTCTTCGGCTTTCTGACTACGCTTTCGCACCATGTTGGGGGTTTATATTGGTTTGGTGATACTCTTGATGCTCAATATTCCCCACTATCCTGTTTACGCCATTCTCCTGGAACGACTTACGTTAATCGATGCAAAATCTTAATTTGCCATCTGCTTTCTTTACGAATAGGATAGGGAACACGAAGGGGCTGTTGCTGTTGACGATGAAGCCTTTCTCTAGGTTCTCTAACAGGTATTGCTTGGTAGCCTTAAGCTCTTCGGTGCCCTGTCGATATAACAGGGAGAAAGCATTTGGTAAAGGGGCTTCGAGCTGTATCTTGTGGTCGTATATGCGGTGTGGGGGGATTCGATCCGATTCCAACTTCGAAAAGACATTGGTGTACTTCCGGTGCATATGCGGAAGCTTCTGCTGGATGAGGCGGAGCGTTTCTTCGTCCTCTACCAACTCCTTTTCATGGATGATCTGGTCAATTTCTTAGATGCTAGTCTGAAAGAACTTGGAGTCGCTTCGCATCATCTTGTGATGGAAGGCATTGGCACTGATTTCACATATCCGTGTGGGTGTGAAACTAGGTACCAGTTTCACTAGTAGTGGGGGAGAAACCTCTTGGTTTTGGGTAAGGCTCGGTGGCATATCGGTGATCTCTTCATAGCCTGAAGTTATCACTTTCATGTTCATTGAGCGTCCACCTGCGTGGCGTCTGTCTTCGCAGTGGATTGCAGCATTCCTGCGATTCGCATCCGGCTGGTATGCGAGATGTCGAATGGACGTTTCTCGCGTGTAGTAGGGCAAGGTGATCTCCTTGCTCCAGCTAGGAGTCGGCGGGTACTCCTTTGGCCATACTAACCGGCTCTTTGCAGAGTTGAGTAGTATTCGGAAGCGGCTGAAAAGCTTCTTCCCAATTATCACATCCTGTGCTCCAAGATCCAGGAGTACAAAGGGCAGTTATATATCTGGCGTCCTTCGACTGTTAAGTGTAACTGAATATACTCTGATACGTGGCCTTGGATTTTGCGCTGAAATCCACGTATGGGTACAGAGTAGGGTAGTTTCTGTATGGGGCTCTGAAGCACTTTTGACAGTCGTATTGCGAAAGGCTTGTTAATGACAAGGTAGCCATTTGCTCCTGTGTCCGCTAGAGACTTCGTTTGCACCCCGAGTCCATTCATACTCAGGGTCATGTTGACTAAGAACTGGGTACCTCCCAGGAGTTCTCGTAAGTCTAGTCCTCGCAGGTCACATTTGCGTAGACCTAGGAAGGAGCCTTCTCCTAGGCCTCATCGTTTTCCTCTAGGGACGCATCCGATTGAAGTTCCACGGCTTCCTCCCATTGTTCTTCTGCCTCGGGTGTAAGGACACAGGGCACCCAGTGATTAAATGGATGCTATCCTATAGGTCTACTACGAAGGATACAAAAAAGATGATGGGGGAACCCCGTGAGTCGATTGTCTCAAGTACCCGAAACCCATCCGACTCGGTTCCGACTCAGTTAGCCCACCCAAGCATTCACACGTGACCCCGCAGCTACCCAGAGTCTACTCCCTAGAATGAGAGACGAGAAGGCATCCTTACATCGGGGTCGTTACGGTCGATTTTATTCTGAACTTTCCCCTTGGACAAGACTGGGACCCACGGTTTATAAAATGACATCCTCATTTACAAATCCAACTAGGCAGACTGGTCGAAGCACAAAGAATGAGTGGAGTTACAAAAGATGTGTTAACGGGGTGGTTTGACGCGTACAAGGACCTTGTGGCGTGTCTAGGAATACAAGAACACAACGTGTATAACATGGATGAAACTGGATTTTTGATTGGCACTATGGAGTGTACTCGGATCATCGTTGATTCTACACTCCGTACACGTCACCAGGCACACCAAGGCTGGCAGGAATGGGTGTCTGCTATTGAATGCATCTGTATGGATAGAACGACCATTAACCCTCTTATTATATTTAAAGGTCGGAACGTCTTACAAAACTGGATCCCTCCTGAGGTTATCGATAAATGGCACTTCTCTGCTAATACAAAGGGTTGGACAAGCAACTTACATGGCATCGAGTGGTTAAAATGCGTGTTTGAACCAGCAACGCATGCGAAAGTGACATCTAATGGATCACAACAATAACGGTTACTCATATGCGATGGCCACGACAGTCATATAAGTGGAGGCTTTATATCCCATTGTATGCAAAATCGAATATCTATCCTTGTCCTCCCACCGCACACTTCGCATGTGTTGCAACCACTCGATGTTGCAGTCTTCGGACCATTGAAAAAACATCTCACAAGTGCGCTCTCATATTTGAATGAAGCGCAACTTACACGCATACAAAAAGCAGAATGGTTATCTGCATACATCAAAGCGAGAGCAATTGCGCTATCTACTCATAATATTACATCTGCGTGGAGGGGTGCTGGTCTACAACCTTTCCAACCTCAACGGGTGATCCGGATGGTGACGCTCCAACAGACAGATGTGACAGATGATCGACCAAAAACACCAACTGAGTACGATATTTTTGACACTGTCTTTCAGAACAGTAGTCCACCTGACTGTTCTACATTGCGCAAAGCGAACACTGTCCTGGTTGCGGCCTTAGAGACGCGTACAGTCCTAAACACACCCACTACTCGATATATCCGTCGGTTGGCTGATGAGACTGAGCGACTTAATACACGCAACTTCTTACACCAACGCGAGGCAGATAACCTACGACCGATAATACAAACATGGAGAGCACAGAGCAAAGGGAAACGTGCAATTTTAAAGGGCCAATTCCACATAACTACAGAGGAATTACGCTCCCAAGTCATTGAGGCCGAGGAGGCCACCCAGAAAGCGACTACCAAAGGCAAGAGTACAGCGACAAATATCACTGTACCTGACCAAACTGAGAATGTCGAGGAGGATGAGAACCCAGAAGAAGTATATGACTGCATTATAGTTGAATACTAAAGTAATAATACTCTACTTTTCGCTTTCTTCGTGGTCGGTCTTCCCCCACTATCCCGTTTACGCCATTCTCCCAGTTATGCCATGACTTACGTTACTGGAAGTTAAATGGTCTCACCCGGAACGATCCCTACCCCATCCCTCGTATCGACGAACTACTAGGACAGGTGTCGAAAGCAAAAATCTTCACGAAGCTAGATATCAGGCCTTCCATCGCATACGGATGCACCCCGACTCGGAAGAGTACACGACCTTTCGGACTCGCTATGGATCCTATAAGTGCAAACTGCTGCCGTTTGGACTAACGAACGGTCCCGCAACCTATCAGCGGTATATGAATGACGTCCTGATGCAATATTTAGACAACTTCTGTACCGCATACTTAGATGACATCCTAATCTATTCAGAGGACCCTACGGAACACATAGAGCATGTGCATAAGGTCCTACAGCATCTCCGAGAAGCTGGACTCCAAGCCGATTTGAATAAATGTGAGTTCAACGTCACCAGGACAAAATACTTGGGTTACATTCTCACTACCTCCGGTGTCGAAGTGGACCCCGACAAAATCGAACCCCTTCGTAACTGGATCTGACCGACCACTGTTACGGGTGTGAAGTCCTACCTGGGATTCTGTGGCTTCTATAGACAATTCATTCGCAATTTCAGCAAAATAGCAAAGCCCCTCACCACCATCACTAGTCCCTTGGTGTCATACTGACATTCGTTGCACTCAGTTTGCTATCAAACTCAAGAGCAAACTTAGAAATCTCCTCCTCAAACCTACAAGTCACCATACATATCTTGGCTTATCACACCAACAACAGAAGCAATACTACTGAACGATTGCTGCAAACTCTTCTACTACATCTGTTTATGCTACATACATCACGGCATATCATTTGGACACTCATTGAACAAGTTATTAAGAAAATCTCCTCCTTAAGGGGGTGGGCCAATACTACCACATGGCATATCTCTACCAACTAGAGGCCTAGGAACATGAACGATAGCTCTAGAAGCTTCTACAATCCTCTATGATTCATTACACGTCATCGCTCCTTAGTTACCCACAAGATTGGTTAAGTTATGACATAATTTGTCTATAGGTACTCTGACCTTGGACCTCCTTTTCACTTCCTATAGGCTAGGAACCCAAGAGATGGTTCTATGGGATTCTCTTACGTTCACTACATGATTAGCAAGCTAGTTGTGGGTCGCACTTGATTTCTAATACATTTACCAAGCCTGGTTAGTCATGGAAAGTCATGGAAAATGAGAGAACTACACTCCTTTGGCATAAATAGGATTGCCCTTTCCTTAAGAAAGGGCAAGCAGACAATACAGTAAATCGACTAGCACATACTTCCACGTCTTTTCCAAGCTTCCAAGCATTGATCTTGTTATTCTCTGTTTTTGAAAAGTCAGTGAGGTGCTAACCTCTGACTTACCCCTGAGTTCTCAGACTCAACATTTGTTGCAACTTGTCTAAACCACTTCACCACATCATACACCTGATTGCTGCGTTGTGGAATAGTCTAAGCTACAACCCTTTGGCTCTGTTTCCTAAGACAGTGTGTTGTCTTAGTAAATTCATCCCTTCCTTGGGTGGCTAGATTCTCATATCTGGTGCACCCACCATTACACTTGGAGCCGTTCCGATGGACAGACGAATGCGAGGCTGCTTTTGAGGAATTGTGCCAGCAACTCCTAGCAGTACAGGCACTTCACCACTTCAACCCCGAATTGCTTATGAAGCTGGAGACAGATTCCTCCGATGGAGTCGTAGCTGGTGTCCTCTCTCAAGAACACCCTGACAAGCGGTGGTATCCCATAAGCTTCTACAGTCATGTCCTATCCGGACATGAGATCAACTGGGAGATCCACGACAAGGAACTATTCGCAATAGTAAAGGCCTTCAGAAAATGGAGGCCCGAGTTGGCTTCGGTTTTCCACCGAGTCGACGTTTACACTGACCACCGTTCGCTGGAATATTTCATGTCTACCAAGGTTGTCACCGCAAAGCAGGTTCGGTGGATGGAACTACTCTCCGACTTCAACTTCTGCATATGTACAGCGTGGGCAAGAATAACCAGAAGGCAGATATTCTGAGCCGAAGAGACCAAGACTTGGTAATGCAGCAGAAAGTCAAGCTTGATAGTAGGGCGAGGGTATTGTTAGGTCCAAGCCGCCTGCACCCCCGAATCAGCACCGAACTCGTGGAGAGCTACATAGAATCCATTAATTTGATGGACACCCCCAAGCCCCAGATGCCTTTCAATTTAATAGAGGCTTTATGTGCGGACAACAGAGAGTCGTTTACAGAGACACGCGCGAAACACCCCCTACCTGACAGGTTTGCGATGAACGACCAGCTTCTTCTATACAAAGGCCGGCTATGTGTGAACCATCACACCGAGCTATGTACAAAACTAATCCGAGAAGCGCACGACCAGGTGTCGGTGGCACATCCTAGCGGCCGGAAAACCTATCAATTGATTGCCCTGAAGTACCACTGGGTCAGGGTGGAAGCGGATTGTTTGCGCTATGTGAGGAATTGTGTGACATGTCAGCTTTCTCATCTCATACCAATGTCACCAAGAAACAAGGATTCCTACACCCGCTGCCCGTACCCGAATACCCTATGCAACACCTCACCATGGACTTCAAGGAGTTCCCAAGGGACAAGCATGGATACGACAGCATCTAAGTGTTTATTGACTGATTCGGAAAGAGTTCAGTGACCATACCTTGCTACAAAACCACAACTGCCTGGCAACTGGCACAATTGTTCATCGAATGGATATACCGATTCGGACACACTCCGGAGTCGATTGTAAGCGACTGCGGACCCCAATTTGTATCATCCTTTTGGCAGGAGTTCTGTCAAATTATCAGCATTAAGGTTAAGCTGTCGACTGCCTATCATAAGCAGACCGACAGACAGACGGAAATCATGAACCGATACATCGATCAGAGACTGAGGCCTTCTATCCCATTACCAGGATAACTGGAGCGAACTCATCCCCATAATGGACCGCGTGCAAATGACACTCCCCCACACATCCATTGGTATGACCCCCTACCGACTCAAGTACGGAACCGATCCGCGTACAAGTTGGGATTGGAACACCCTGAAAAGCACCAACCCCCGGGAGACTCTAAACTGAGATGAAGCCAAGGCGGTTGCAGACCGAATGCATACTGCATGGGTCCACGCAAAGGAAAACATGGCAAAGGCACAAGAGGAAATGTCTAAGCACGCGAATCGAAGCTGAAGGGCCATCGACTGGGACGTAGGAGATAGAGTGTACCTATCAACCAAAAATTTGAAGAACTCTCGCCCTAGCCGCAAGTTGGGCCAACAATGGGTCGGACCATATATGGTGCTAGGACGAGTTGGACACGCTTTTCGTCTAGACCTACCTACCAGTTCTCAAATACATGATGTGTTCTCACCGGACGTTCTCATCAAGGCCCCGAATAACCCCCTACCAGGTCAAGAGCCACCTGAGCCTAGCAGTGAAGTTATAGATGGCTTGGAAGAATGGGAAGTAGAAAAGATCCTTGCCGTGAGACTCTGAGGAAAGCAACTGCAATACTGGGTTAGTTGGGTTGGATACGACCCAGATCTGGAGTGGTACCCAGCGTCGAACTTCATGAACTCCCCCCATAAACTCAAGGATTTTCACACGGAATACCCAGATTTACCAGGTCCACCATCTTGTTGGTGTGATAAGCCAAAATATGTATAGTGACTTGTAGGTTTGAGGAGGAGATTTCTAAGTTTGCTCTTGAGTTTGATAGCAAACTGAGTGCAACGAATGTCAGTATGACATCTAACATGATCTTATAGACGGCGAACCCCCGAAAGGTCTTGTCTACAAAACCAAATCCTCTCCTCTCCTCCTTACGCCTTAATGGTAGTAGCAAACCCCTTAAGCTGACTATAAGTTAGTAAGTGGTGCTATGTAAGGCGATCCTTAAATTGACAGTATAAGAAGAGTACCGTGTCATTAAAGAGGGTAAAAAGCTTAACACAAACTGTCTACCGTCTAGGATATACAAGCCTTATATAGATTCCTTGATAAGGAAGGGTGGTGAGGGTAAGGAGGCTAGGTAGTATTTGTAGTTGTGGTGATAATACTGAAATTATCACTTTTACCAATTGCTAGACTGGATTGCGTGACAGTCACCTGGTTCTAGGAAATTGCGCAGTGCTAGTCTACGTTAGGCTTATGGGATTACGCCAGACTAGCTCTAAGCTAGCGCCAGACTAGTTGTACGCTATTACCAATCCTACTGTATGCAATTATGATACGCAATTTGAGGTGAAACCGTCTAGTGTATGTAGTCTGAATGCGAGCACTGTAGTTGTCTCTGATGGTGCTCGGTCGGCAGTTTGGCAGTGCGGACTGAGTGACGGCCCAAGGGGCGCGGGGCGGCTGGGGGGAGGCACGGGCGAGACTTCTGGGGCGGGGGAGGCGTTGAGCGGGGTGCGCCGATCTATGGTGTGGGGTGGTGTGGCGTGGTGGGTTGAATCTGTGGGCGTGGTGGCTTCGGGGGTGGAGGTGGGATGGTGGGAGGTGGGATGGTGGGAGGTGGGATGGTGGGAGGTGGGATGGTGGGAGGTGGGATGGTGGGAGGTGGGATGGTCGGTTGGTCTGTTGGTGGGCTGGTGGGTTGGTCGGTTGGTCTGTTGGTGGGTTGGTCGGTTGGTCTGTTGGCGGGTTGGTCGGTTGGTCGGTTGGTCGGCCTTTGTCGGTTGGTCGGGTTTGTTGGTGGTGCGGCGGGCTGATGATATTAGCAGGACTGGTCTGATATAGGATTGTATTGCGGTGTCTGTCTGCAAGGAATGGATAGATAGGTTAGACAGAGTGACGGAAGCAGTGGGTGGGGTGCGGTGGGGCTATGGGATGGGGATGGGGATGCATAGGAAGCTGAGAACGCTGCCAAGCCGTTGAATTTGGCATGATTGGGTCCGTTGGTGGAGTCGGTAGGACTCGGTAGGAGGTAGGACCGAGTAGGACTCACTAGGACTGTAGGACTCACTAGGACTCACTAGGACTGTAGGACTCGGTAGGAGGTAGGACCGAGTAGGACTCACTAGGATCACTAGGACTCACTAGGACTCACTAGGATCACTAGGATCACTAGGATCACTAGGACTCACTAGGACTCACTAGGACTCACTAACCTTGAGCAGCTTCGGCTTCTGTTCCTGAGCTAGACGGCGCTACTGGTGGTAGGGGAAGGGGAGGTGGGTGGTAGGGGAAGGGGACGTAGGTGGTAGGGGACGTAGGTGGTAGGGGACGTAGGTGGTAGGGGACGTAGGTGGTAGGGTAGGTAGGTGGTAGGGTAGGTAGGTGGTAGGGGACGTAGGGTAGCTAGGGGACGTAGGTGGTAGGGGACGTAGGAGGGCAGCCAGCACAGCCAGAAGAAAAGCTGCTGCAAAGATGCCCCGCTCCAGACAAACAACAGACAGCTGTGGGACCTGACGGGAAAGCGAGCTATACCCAAGGCAAATTAGAGCTACAGTATGGCGGCATAAGTATTCCCAGATACAGCGGCCACGACGAGAAAGGGTGGAGAAGGCGTTGTGGTCGGATTTGTGATGAAGACTGTAACTTAGTCCGCACCGAGCCGTACCTTGCAGCGCTGGGCTGTGGGACCTGACCCGCCCGCCCGCAGCCACGTTCGCAGATCTGCCTCGGGCGGTGGCTGCGACACCAGACGGGACAAGTTCCTGTATCCGCTGATGTTTTTGGCCTTTTCCGACTTTTCGACCGTTGGTAGTTACTATATCCATGTACCTTACCATACAATCTTATCCAAACATCTACTTCCCCTTTCCCCTGATTACTATGTACACCCTCCCCCTCCCCCCCCCCCGCTCCCCCTCCCCCTCCGTTTGCTCGCCGTGCCCCCGCTAAACAGACACCGATCCACAACCACTCTTTCCCCCCTTCACCCTTCTCACCCCCCCCCCCCCCCCCCCCCCCCCCCCCCCCCCCTAACAACTCGCCTTCCCCTTCAGACTTCTTTATCTTCGCTGTATCCGCCTCCCCCCTGGCCTCACTGTCCGACCCAGCCAACCCGCCGCGCAATCATGGAAGGCTATCTTCTCGTGCCTCCCGAACGGTCTGCCATAATAGGCCGCGCTGTGTGGAAGGTAGGCTTCTACCTACCCTACCCATCACCTTACTTAACATCAATGCTAATCTTTGGTCGCCCAGCCTCGCTACGTCGTCCTTGGAACCAATGGGCCGCGGCATCCCACGGCCCCGAAACCCTCCCTCCCGCGCTCGATCTCAGCAAGAAAACTCCATGCCGCGCGCCAGGGCCTCAAGACCTCCTCCGTTTTCCAGAGTTCCGACGATCTCACGCGCGTCGACCAGGACCAGCTCTGGCTCACTGTGACCAAACAGAAGGTACGTCAGACACTATGACCCGAGCCCGCTCGTCCGTGCTGGGCATGCCGCTAACTCGGACATACAGGGCGACTCGGAGATCATATCGCACAACCTTCTCTCATCGATACGCAGCTGCGAGATCCAGAGCATCCAGTTCCGCAAGCCAGGCCCGGCCGTCCCGACGCTTATCCTAACCTTCGAGCTCGACGCGGCATCAGAGCGCCTGCGCAAGCGCCGCTCGAGTCGCTCCGGACAACTGACCTCGCCATCGAGCACTTTTCCCAACTCACTTCTCTTCCGCCCAATGCCCGATGACCGCTTTGATATCTACGATTGGCAGGTGACGATCGCGCCGCGAATCCGCCCGGCTACAGCAGAACGCGGCGATGCGTCGTCGAACGACTCGGCGTCCCTCTTCGCCTTCGTCAACCCCTTTGGCAATTCACAGAAGCAATCCGAGCGCCCTACAATCTCTAACCCCATTCCACAACCAGAGCCATTCCTCCACCATCGCACCTCGACCAAGGGCCACCGACCCCCCCCGAAACCCATTAGTCTGATCTCGCCCTCTCCTTCCTTGCGCTCGCGACACAGCGACCTCTCCTCTCCAACCTCATCTTTCTCACCATCCGGGCCGCTGCCTATCCAGCACCCCCCTCTCCCCTCACCAGCCTCGACGCTCAACCACGACGGCGACCTAATTTCCAGCTGGACCTCCGCCCAAGGCCGCTCCTCGGCCCTCTCACACTACACGCACGCTTCGACCCCTCCCACGGGCCCTCGCGAAACAATCCTCGACCGCGCTTTCTCCATGCGCTACATCCCCGGCGCCGCCGATGCGCCACCACCCTCCGAAGAGGGCAAGCTGAGCAGCATCGCGCGCTTCGAGGCCCTAATGCGCGACCACGAAGCGCGCAAGAACCGCCCCGCCACACCCACACACAACCGCAACGAAAGCGTAGCAGACTGGGACATCGACGAAGCCCCCGAGTCAGATGATTCCGACATCGACCGCGTCGCCCCTAATCCTCGCACGCAGAATGCGCGCCGCGTCGATACCCCCTCTGACGACCCTCTGACGTGGAGCATGCATACCATCTCCGCACCGACGCAGCGCGCGCTCGGCTATATCTCGGGTCGCACCACACCGGCTACGGGGCGCCCAGGGAGCGCGCGGAGTGAGGACCACCCGCCTATGCCGACTATGAGGGCGCGTCCAGGGGAAGGCGGACGCGCGATACCGGCAAGTCTGAGTTTGGCAGGGATGGGAACGAGGGTTATTCCCCCTGCACCGAGGACTGTTGATACTGCCGAAGAAGAAGAGGAGGACGAGGACGAGGAAGATGATGAAGAAGAATCAGACGAAGAGGATGAGGAAGAGGACGACAGGGAAGTTGACCTCTACTCCGCCGCCTTCCCACAACCTCCCAGCAACCCTCTGCCACGCTCCCGTACCGCCCCGCCCACGCGACCCCCACTATACCAGCGCCATAGCAGCGCGAGCTCCTGCCTGCCTGTGCAGACGAACGTCTCCAGCGCAGCGGCCAGCTCGCGCAATAGCCGCAACAGCGACGCCAGCTCAGGCTTCGGACTTCCCGAGGCTGAAACGGTGCTGGTGCGCGGCTTGAGCCAGGCGAGGCTGAGTAGGCTGGTTAGAGGGACGCAGCCGGGAGTGCTGCAGAGGGGAATGAGTGAGGAGTCGAGGTGTGGTGGTGGATGGAGGGGGGGTGGGATGTTAGGGGGCGTGGAGGGGGGGTTCATGTGATTCCCTCTCTGACAATCCCAACATCGCCACCAGCACGCTTGTGATTGGCGGTTGAGATTATGGGTGGTTTTTTTTTTTTTTTGCTTGAGCCTTTTTTTGCTTCCTTTCTTGCATTGCCAGGTTTGATGATGTGATGATGATTCGATTTGATTGATACCGGCGGCAGCTGGTTAGGGAGGTTTACTGATTCTGATGATGGGTGGATGGGCGTCTAGGATATACCACCGCCTCCTTGCCTTCTAGGGTGGGGGGTTGGACCGCAACTTGTGCATTTTTTTTGGTATTTGGAGTTTCAGGGATATGGGGGAAGGAGATGGCAGCATATATGTGGAGGAGGAGTGTAATGTGTTTTTGATTTACTGGCATAGTATGAGATGTCGGCGGCGTGATGCGGGCGCATGATGTATGTAGACGATTTAGGGGCTGAGATGGCCTGCCTCCACGAGGGTAGCCTGGAGCGAATTATGATGAGATGAGATACCAGAAATCATTATTGCTTTATCCATGTTGATGTTCTCACCTCCGTGCCAGAGTTACTGAGAGATCACACATATGGGCTTTTAGATCATAATTGGTTGGTTCGCGGTAAGTTCCTATGAAGCCCCTATACCACTAATACATCCTATGACACAACTGCATCATTTGGGAATGTTCCATTCCCAACCAAGACGACAACCACCTCGCGGAGCCATGTCTAACAGTTCTTTAATTCAACTCTTGACCTAACGCCCTAAAAACAGAAGGAGAATGAGTTAGTTTACCAAGGCTTTTATCGATACAGCCTCGACAAACTTACCGATGCGTCTGATGAACCGAGACTTGGTTCTGGTGGCTGAACGCTCGAAGCCACTCGCACAATTGCGTCGACAGGGTTAGAAATTGGCGACCAGGGATCGGCCGTCTGCAGATCTGGCCGCCAGTGCGGCGGCAGAATAGACTACGCAGTGGATAGGTACCGCCGTCGCGAGGGTAGGGGAGGATAAAGGTTAACTGGCTATGTAAGCAGGCATCCCGTAGTCGCGATGTGGTAGCGCACACTGTATTGCGAAGTAATCCCATTATCACGGTGGTAGGTGGTAGATGTAGGCGATGTGATATGAGCGAGTAGTGTGTTGGATGGGCGCCCATGTCGGTGCATCGCCACGGCCGTGAGAATAGTGGGGGTAAAAACAAAGACTCAAATGTACTTCCTAGATATATCCCACGTCAGCCTTGGTGGACTGCGGCGTCAAGAAGTCATGTGGCTGGAAGGAGACTTGATCCTTGATCCTGGCGGGATGGGCTGCCTGGAAGGCGGGCTCCAGCGCGGCGAAGTCCTGAACAAGAAACTTCGGGAGGGGGATTTTTTGGCGATGGCGATGGAGCAGTGGCCTACGGAGCCGCCAACCCCTCATCTACCAACGTGGAGGGGGCAAGGTGGAGATTAGCAACTGTCGTGCTCATTGCCCCGGCTAGACGCCCTCCACGCTCGCCTTGGTTAACGCTTGCTCTTATCACTAGACTGTAAAATAGTAAAGTCTACGATCCCTCGTATTCTATGAATATTTCACGTTTTCGGAACAGAGTCGTTGTGTTTGATATAGATTCGGACCTCCTATAACCCAACCCCGCTTCTCCATGACCGAAGTTGACGGACAGGTCAGAGCTAGCAGGTCAGGATATCTAGAATTGGAAACTTAATTGGTAATCGTGACAAAGAATCTTGGAACTTAACATGCTCAATAAGGGGAATTCCTCAATAAGGAGCCGAGATTAGCGCCTACGTACGTACATTTTTTGGTAAGTTATGATGTTCGATTGGTGAGTTTACGTACTTGTATCATCCTGGTAACCTTGCGTAAGCCGATTGAGCCACACTTCAAAACCATAATTTGATAACGACGACAGTCACTCTCCATAGCATTGAGCTTCATAGAGCCGGTGAGAGGCGATAGGTTTACAGGCTCTGTAAGTGGGATAAAGGGTAGTATTCCGAGTTTCCAAGCGTGTTTCCAACCCTATCCAATTTTCATTATACAAAACTCAGCAATCCAACACAACACCTCACCACATCCATTGGCTATCGTAAATGAACAACCCGCCGTGCCCACGTAGTGCATACCTAAGAGATGGGCTCCTCAGAGCATCTGCCGCATCTCCTGCACCACCCATAACGGTATCCAGCTCTTCATTGATTAGATCCGTCAGTTCTGTCTTCCAAGTGCTCTCCTTCTCTTCGTTTTCGCCCCCATCTTCGACGTTTTCATTCTCCTCCGATGACTCTGTTACCCTCGCAGCACTGGCCCTTGCACTTGCCGCCGCACTTGGACCGGCGCTTGCCTGCACTGCCCTTGGCACGTCTGGGCTCCTAGTCGTATCGGGGGTCTCACCTTCAAGCATTGACGCGGTCCTCACATTATCCGGTGTCTCATCATCCACAAACGACGACGGGCTTCTCGACCTATTCCGTTCCTCCTCATCCACAGGTATCGGCAGCGCATGCGGATAGTCGGGACTAGGCATGTCTTCATCAAGAGGGGGTCTGTCGTCCACAACCTCCACGCCGTCAACACCAAACCTCGCCATCCCCTCCTCCCCCCACTCCTCCCACGGCTGCCCAGCCCCAGGCCTTGCCCACCAGGCATCTCTCCTTGCCCAATCCAGCGGAACTCCCCTCGCCTCCCTGCGCTCAATAAACTGCGCCGGCACCGAATCAATCGCAAACCAGACACCATCAACCGTCATCTCCGTCTCGATTCCCAGGATCTCCAAGCACGACAGCACAGAGAATAGGAGTACTCGCGGCTCCTCAAGTCCCAGCGCCGGCAGGTGCACCTCCTGCGCCTCGTTTAAGCCCGGCAGGGTAACCATCACTGGGATTATGCCGTACCTGAACGTCTCTGCCGCAATGTGCGCAATGTACACGTCTGCGCACTCCACTTGGTGGTGCATCTCGAAATCAAACATTGCAGCTCCTGGACGTCCCTGTCAACCCGGTCCGTCACTGGATAGCCTACCAGGGCCGGTCAACTCACCGTAATTGGAATACAGCGCGACCAGGCTCGTGGGCTGAACATTCATCGGGTCAAGCGCGCGCTCCAGATTCGCCCTATTGATGCGCCGCTCAAAGGGGGGCGGGAAGATGTTCTCCGCGCTAAAGCCGAGGACAGTGCTATCGCGTGTTCGTGAAGGGGGTAATGTCTCGTTGCCGTGCTGGTCGACAGCAGCCGAGTGTTGAACGCGGTAGAATCGCCTGGGGCGTGGTATCACGGTTGGGAGGGTGAGCGGGGCGAGTGGGTCGACGGGTTTAAAGGCCTCGATGAGAAGAGGTATATGCTGGATTTCAACAAACGGCTCGACGAAGATTGGGTCGAAGAAGTCTGGTAGAGGGGAACCAGCCTCGCCTGCCTGCGACTGTGGGGGCACAGGGTCGAGGATCTCGCCCATTCTCTTCCCGTACATTGCGATCCACCCAGCCAGCGATCCTTCTGCCGGTCCCTGGAACGGAGCAATATCAGGCCAAGGCTCCACGCCCTCCTCCTCCTCTTCCCACTCATATTGCAACGGCCCCAGCCTTTCCTCATCAGCAATCCGTCCATAATCCCACCGTGGAATACTACCACTGACACGGAGCAAATCCCTCGGCTGTAGCGCAATCCCCTGCTGCGCGCGCAACTGGCCATACGCTCCTGGCGGGATCTCATTCGCCGGCGGGAACGGGAATGCGGAGGCCTGCTCGGGCCTCCTGAAGGTAGGGATGTCGGCTTGCCGTGACGCGCGGGGAGGGAGCGCCCAATCTTCCTCGTCTTCTTCTATCCCGGGGAGAACTATTCTTGGGGGGCTGGGGAGGTCGCCACTGGGGAGCCTGAGCTGGACGAATTTTGAGGGTCGTGGTGCCGCCATTTGGTGTGTCTGGGCCCCTGTCGTCGGGCTGGAGATGGCATCGCGGGTTACGCGGCGGGGTCTGGATCATCTAGATTCCGTGGCGTGGGGGAGGGAGGCCTATTGGGAAGACGCGAGGGAGGTGGTGACTGCCGGCTTTGTGAAGCTGGTGAGTCTGGCATGATGGGCAGGCGCGTCTAAGGCGTGAAAGGCAGGAATGCCCTGCTGGGTTCCATGCTGGTTCTGAGGAAGGCGTGAGGGTGGTGACTGCCACCTTTGTGAATCTGGCAAGTCTACTATAAACCCTTTTGAATACGGTGCGCCTAGCATGAAAGGCAGGCGCGTCCTGTCATGGAGGCAGCCGCATCCAAGACATAAAAGGCAAGAATATCCCATAAACCTCATACTATTTCTATAAAGAATGGAAGTGCATCCCACAAACAAACCCAACGCACAAAAGGCAGGCGCGTCCAATACACCTAGATAGGCGGAAAGAACGTCCCGCCCCCCCTTTCACCTCGTGCCTTCCCACCACAACCCCTCATAAAACGGCAAGAGCCTCCCTCCACCATAGCTCCTGCCTTCACACACACATTCACCCAACCACCCACCACCACTCCTCTCCTTCCACACCCTCTCCCAGAAGGAGCCGCCAACAGCTACCAAAGAGCACAGCCACACCCACAAACACTGATACAGTCATCATCGCTCTTCAGAACCGAAGGAAGGGGCGCGCTTACAGCCGCTCATACATCCGCTCCCCGCCCCCGCTCCCGCTTCCGCTCTCGACATGCGGCGCCGCCGGTCTGGATCTGATGGTGAGATGTGGTAAGCGCTATTCTTATAAAGTATCGTCAGACCTTCACATGGAGTAAACATGGCACAGGAACGGGCAGGGACACAGCATATCACCATCACAGGTACAGACACATGCACAATCACATGGACAAACACCCACAAAAGCAGAGAGTAAACACAGCAATCTTTCCATCTAGCCGTAGCATACAAAAACCCCCATCCCATCCCATCCATCTATCCCCATTCCCCCACAGTAGACAAACAGCAGCAGCAAGGAGCACCAGTCAGTCAGTCCAGTCCTATGCACCCATCTGCTCAAACCACAATAAGCCAGTCCGGTCCAGTTCAGTGACCCAGACCCAGCTTACGACGTTCAAACCAGTGAAGCACAAAACCCAGCTGCTGCGTCCAGTGTATACATTTCATTATCCCCTCATCTTACCCCCCCGTCTGCCCCAAACTCGCATGTATCGCATCGCATTGCATAGCAAGCATCGCAGGCAGCACGCATCCACAAGATCCAAAGCCCCATTCATACCACCCCCCCCCCGGGCCCCTTCCCCCCAATAACGTCCCATCCGATTCCATTAATCATCTCCCTCCCAAAAGAGTTATCAAAATAAAATAAAAACGCCCCCAGCAAAGTCCAAAAAAAAAGCAGTCGCCTAAAAGGCGTTTGTATCCCCCCCGCAGCCAAGAGGGGAAAAAATCACATAGAAACAACAAGCAGCGAGAAAAAAAAAGGGTTCAAACAAAAAAACCAACAAACACTCCCTATACCCCTCATTATCCCCCCATTGAACCCCCTAATAATGACCCCACACTGATTTTTTATATGTCACCCTTCCCACCCTATTCCCCGCTTGAAACACAAATTATAATCACTCCCCAAAAGCCAAGCCATAGATATACCCCCCCCCCCCAAAACATCATGGGGACTCAAAAAGCAACAACGGCACCAGGAGAAAACCACAAAAACACAAATTTTGGGGCCAAAAAAAATAGACACAGCACCAGTACCCCCCACACCATCCCACCCCATTTTTAATGCCATTTTTGTCAACACTCATTCTTTGTGCAAAAAAAAGAAGCGGAAATTAACACCTAATGGTTGATTGCGTGTCGAGCGATGCGGTCTCGCTCTCGATCTGCACTTCGGGCACGTCAGTCTCCTTCCCAACTTCCTTCCCAGCGCTGCCACCGACGTCGCCAGCCTCATCGACGGTCGATCCGGTGGCGCTGGGCAGGTTGCTGCTCTCGGGGCTATTCTGCTCCATCGTGAGCATGGGCGTCGGCGCCACGGAGCTGACGTCGAGCGTAATCGCTGGTCCCTGCGGTGGTGCCGCCCCACGGCCATAAGAGGGCGTGGCGGATGCGGTGCTGACGGTTTGGCGGTGCGAGCTGGTGCTGGGCCCGGTCGGGGCGACGAAGATGAGCTTCTCGATGGCGGCGATCTGCTTGCCGTAGTTGTACTTCTTGAGCTGCATGAGCTGGGGCTTGATGTCCTCGACGAAGGCGTCGCGCTCATCACCCTGGAGTAGGCCAAGGAGTTTTTCTGCAGAGGGGGGTTAGTTGCTGTTATATAGGGGAAGGGGAGGGAGTATGAGCAAGGGGAGAAAGAGAGATGACTTACGAATAACGTAGTTCCCATACTGATCCTTCATCATCAGCTGCAGCGGGCTACTCCCATCACTCTCCAGCGCCACTATTTTCGCCACGATCGTCTGCCTCTGCTCCGTCGTTCCGCACGAGATACTCCGCTCCACGACATTCGACGCGAACTTGTGCTTCGACAGCGTCAGGACCTGGTTCGTGACCATCGAGATCAGCTTCGCTTGGTCCTCCGGCTTGCCGTGCTGAATAACGTGCTGCACGACGTAGTTACCGTACTGGTCGACGATGAGCATCTGCGCGCACGCGAATAGCTCCTTCAACACCGACGTCTGGTCAGGAGGCGTGCAGTACTCGAGCATGCGCTGGATAACGCGGCAGCCGTACGGGTGCGTCGCGAGCGTGTGAACCTGCGTGCGGAAGGCATCGAGGATGAACTGGACCTGTTCTGTCGGGCATCTCTCAATAGCCTTCTGGATCACATGGTTACCGTTCTGGTCCTTGACGCACTTGAGCACGTCGGCCTGGAGCTCCCTGACGAGCTCGGCCTGCTGGTCGGCGAGGACGTGCTCGAGCGCCTTCTGCACGACGCGGCAGCCGTACATCTGCAGCGAGAGCTCTATGACGTGGTTCTTCATAATTTCGGCCAGGATCTTTTTCTGGATCTGGTTTCCGTGCTCAAAGAGCTTCTGGATGACATAGTTGCCAAAGACATCAGTCATCAGCTGCAACGCATTTGGCTGAATCTCTCTGAAGATCTGCTCCTTCTCGTCGCTGTTGGCTGTCTCGAGCTTCATTTGGATGAACCTCGAGCCGTGCTGGTCACCGCTGAATTCGACGACGTGGCCGTAAATGTTCTTCAGCTCATACTGCCTTGTGTTCGACTTGGCGTTGTTCCTGAACTCCTCCAACAGCAAACTCCTCACGCCATGACCAATATCTTGGTCCCTGGCAGGGCCCCTGGGCACTGAGACAGGAGGGTAAGAAGGCATCTGGACTGCGTAAGGCGCGAAGCCCTGCGGGGCACCGCGGAATGACTGTGGTGTAAAGTCCCACTGCTGCGGCTGGTATTGTCCCTGGAAGTGGGGGTTGTAGATCGCCTGAGGATTATAGAATCCCGCCTGTTGTTGATGCTGCCCAAGCTCCAGCCTCTGGAGCCCGCGCTCAATTTCAGAGAGCCCTTGCATATGTTGCGCCTTGGCGTTGGCGTACGCGTTGAGCTCTGCACTGGTCATTCCATGGGCGTTATAAAACCGTGGGCTTATCGGCTGGCTCGGGCGGTCACCCAGCGCCGACAAGCCATCCAACTCACCGGCTCGCGAGGGCCCCCTCGAATTCAGTTGGTTCGAGAAGGCACCATCACCGTAGTGGCCTCCGAAGTAGCTGTTCCGTTTCTGGGACAGCGAATTCTCGTCCCACGATATGTGTTGTCCATTTGGATGTGGTAGCTGCCCATCATACCCGGCATATGTGCTTGGAGACACTTGAGGCTGTTCGATGGCGTTCACCGCCTCGGAAAGCGCACCCTGGAGGCTTTTGTCGAGTAAGGTGCCACGAGTGTAATGGGCGTCCACATCCTGCGACCTGTCGGAGCCGGTATTGTAGCCCCGCCCATTGGTTGCCGATCCGAACGACTGGGTCCTACCGGTCAAGCTGGGCCTCTGCATATGTAAAGAGTTCTGTGGGGTATGGCCGAATGCCGAATACGGGATCTGGCCAAATATCGAAGTGTTGGTCGCCGCACTCGAGGCAGTCTCTGGGCGCCTCGAGGGTGGCAGACTTGGCTCACGTGAGGCACCTCCTTGCGTGCTTCTGTAGCCTGAGCCAATCTCACGGCGTTGATCATACATGAATCCATCCTGTAAGTCAAATCCGCCATTCATCGCCTGCATGCCACCCTGCTCGCTGCTTTCGCCAAAGCTAATCGAGCTGTACGGGTACTTGAATGCCCCCGAAGCTGGGTCGAGGTTACTCTTCGGCATGGGGCGGTGGTTCATGCCTGGGCCCTGCCCGATGGCCGGCCTCGACGTGGCGAGGTACGGCGATGTGTTCTGTGCTTCCGAGAGCAGGCCATTTGCGGCCGCGCTCGCATTACTCCCCCGGTGACGGCTTGGGGATGTCTCTCCACTGTGGTTTGGCGATGTGGGGTCAACTGGATTCCAGGGTCCATTGTTGCGAGTACCCCATGGGTCGGCCTCGGAGGAGGCGGCTAGTGCCCCGGAGCCACTTGGGGCAGCCAAATCATCGTCATGAATCACTACGAGGCAATTGTTAGGGTCCAAATCAGGAGATGGGGGGTAAATAAACGCACCTCTAGAGCGCGAGGTGTCCCTCTTTCCAACGCTATATTTACTTCCAATAGCATTACCGTTACCCCAGATTCCTCCATGGGCTTTCCAAGTATTATTTGTACCAAAGCCTTGGCCAAGTGTAGTATTTTGTGTAGGCTGCTGGTCGTCTATATTATTTCGTCCAGCGGTAGACGGAAAGTCCCCAAAACGAGTCCCACGAGCCTAGAAGGAACATATATTAGCAATTGAGCTGCTGGACGCCGGAATGGGAAGGGGCAAAGAAACTCACCGAGTTCATGGTTCCAGCAGGTCTATTGATAGTCATGTGCAAAGTGTAGCCAGAAAGGACGGAGACGTCGCCTTGTCGTATTATGTACGGGTATTCGAGATGGTGTATATGTGTGTAGAGGTCGTCGACAGCTAGCGTCTTCTATTTACTCGATATCCCGTTGGTCTGATGCGCTATGTAACTGTAGAGAAAACGGCTTAGTTAGCATGCGCTGGTACATCTTGCAGGGCTGAAGATGTGGAGGAAGGTGCGTCCGACGGAAGCGGCTGAGGAAAGTGGAAGCGACTGGCTGACAACGGTTAAACGTACCACAGTGAAAGGTTCCTTCCTGAAATATGTGACTCTCAACCAGTGTAAGTTGCATGTACAAAGAAAGGTTGTAGAAGAGGTAAGCGGCGAGGAGAAGGAAGAAGAAGGTCGAGCATCTGAGGGTGAAGGGGACCGGGGAGTAGTTGAAGGAAGCGTTGAAGGGGGGAAACCTGCAAACAGGGCGACAGAGACAAGGTGCTGAGTCGGACAAGGCAGGGGGGTGGAAGGAAGGACTGTTTGAATGAATCAAATGAATCAAGCTGGTCGCACGACACCTTTTGCGTTTGTCATATGCGGCGTGGGAGTAAGCGCACCAGACAACTAAACTCCGAGCAGGTAGCCGTACAACACAACACGTTCTACGTGTTGGTAGGCTCCCGAGAGGAGAGCGGTGGGGAGGACGAGAGTAGGTATGTAGTGTAGGTGGTGTAGGTATAGGTATAGGTCGAGGTAGCGTAGGCGGTTGTATGCGGTGTAGTGTGAGTTGCGCGGGGCGTGCAGACAGGCTGTTGATGTCCACGGTTTGTGTCTATCTGTACGCTGTTGCACATTTACTCGGGCTTGTATTTTTGGACTCTTGTTTGTTGCACTGGAGGCGAAAGGAAGGAGACGTTGAGTTCCTGTTTCGCAACTTGTCCAATGGAGTTTGGTCGGGGGGTCGGAAAAGCTGCAAGGGGGATGTCGAAAGAGGGAATGCTGGGTGAGGATCGAGGGTTGAGGGTTGAGAGTTGGGAGTTGGGAGAGATCTTTGTTAGAGAAGTGACGGAAGGGGGGAGAGGAGGAGGGGGGGAGGGGGGGGTAGCAGGTGGAAGTGCGGTCGAGATTGAGTTTCGAGGATTCGAGGTTTCGAGGATTCTTCGATCGAGGGACAGATGTCTGCCAGATGTGGAATATTCCCTGGTGTCGGTGGGCGGGAGGTAGGTGGAAGGGTTTCGGCAGGAAGTCGGTCGATAGGTGGGATATATGTCGCCAGCCAGGTACGGATCTGGGAGGGGAGGTATAGTGAGGCGGTTGGAGCGGATTTAGAGTGAGGGAGGTGAGGGGAGAGAGACTGAGAAGGTGCGACAGGGAAGGTGCGACAGAGACGGGGGGGATGGTGGTGAATATGAAGAAGACGACGATTGGGGTGATGCCCTAAAGATGGTTTGATAGTTTGGCGGCAGTCGGTCTATGTTTCTATATTTTTTTATTTTTTTATTTTGGAGGGTTTGGAAGGTTTGGAAGGTTTTGTGTGGTGGTGGTGGTGGTTCAAGTTGGAGTAGTGTCTCCCTAGTGCAAGTGGAAGTGGAAGTGCAAGTGCAAGTGGAAGTACAAGTGCAAGTGGAAGTACAAGTGCAAGTGGAAGTACAAGTGCAAGTGGAAGTACAAGTGCAAGTGGAAGTACAAGTGCAAGTGGAAGTACAAGTGCAACGGAAGTACAAGTGCAAGTACAAGTGCAACATCAGATACTTGGATAGACCATACCATAGACCTTTCGATAGTGGTTTGTCCAAGTATTAGCATCTCTACACTATTCTCCGTTGGTCACCTTTTTTGTTTTTTGCTACCTGTTACTTACCTGCTGCGTGCTACTTGTTAGAGCAAGGCAGATACTTTCTTCAGTCGATCATTGATACGATGACTGATGGGCAGGTGGAGACGAGTTAGTGGGTTGTAGTGGAGAAGGTCCGTCATCGACGGTGCGGAGAATCTACTGGGCCAGATTGTTCAGTTCTTGGTTAGTGTCTCTATATCCATCTACTGCCAGGACCGTACCGTATATATAATATATACTATATTGCATCCAAAATCTCCATTGGGACTGTGCGCGTAGGGCAGGATGAGGGAAGAAAGCGAGGGAGAAGGGAGAAGGGAGAAGGGAGAAGGGAGAAGGGAGAAGGGAGAAGGGAGATGGGAGATGGGAGATGGGGAAACTCTCAGCTCAGACATCAGGGAGTACCCTCGTGCGACTTCGTCCATCCATACAACCCTCCCCCCCCAGCAAAGTACCCCCCACGTCCCCCCCTGAGTACCTGAAGCGTTCCCCAACATCCATCACCCGCAAGTACCTCTCTCTCGCCCCTTCTTGGCTGCCTAGACTGCCTAGACGCTAGACTGCTAGACTGCTAGACTGCTAGACTGCTAGACTAGACCACTACGGGAGTGGGGGCGGCCACCAAAGTTGTCATCTCTAATCCCATACCATACTAGTTTACTAAACTACTAAACCAAAAAAACCGGCCTTTTCCACTTTCTGCCCAGCTCAGCCCAGAACCACCACACCAGGCCGAGAGGAGTAAGACTGCGCCAGGAAACTGGGTATTAAGCTTTCACCAATCCACCGCATCATCCCACGCCCTGCCCGATCCCGCCCGGACTGTCAAAGTGATGAAGACCAGATCAAACTGTACACACGGAACAGAATAGAACTGGACAGACAAACTGCAGAAAGAACAGAACAGAACAGAACAGAACAGAACAGAATAGAATAGAATAGAATAGAATAGAATAGAATAGAACTGAACAGAAAGAACAGAACAGAATAGAATAGAACTGAACAGAAAGAACAGAACAGAATAGAATAGAATAATAGAATAGAATAGAACAGAACTGAATGAGCAAACACACAAATCCACTGCACTCCCTTCTCTCTTTCACTCCCTTTCCCCCTTTCCCCCTTTACTCCCTTCCCCCTTTCACTCCGTCCCAAAGCCGGCACCTAAGCGCGGTAGATGGGTGTTGGTGATGCGAGTAGATGGGGTGAGACAGAGAAGAGACAAACAAACCACTCTATCCCATATCGAGTCGTCCAGCAAACACGCGTTGAAAGAGGGGGAAGGAGAGGTGGACAGATCTGGATACTCTAGATGCTAGATGCCAACCTACCAGACCCCATCTAACCAAGGGGGGTCCCCTCAAACAGCAAAGGAAACGGCTGATGACGCTGGATTGTGGCACGGGTTTACGCGTTCTTCACTTGCTAACCTACGGTACCGTGGAATGAGATGGCCTGGTGGACGGCCGCGGCACAAGCCAGGAACGATGGGGGGAGTGTCCTCATCTTCCATATCGAACGATCTCTAATGACTCCAGTGGTACTGTACTGTATCAAGGGCATCAAAAGCATCAAACGCACATAGTCACACACATGATGCCATTCCTCGTACGCACGCCCTCTTTCCATTCCATTCTTTCTCTCCCACAATCCCTCTGTACACAACACCACACACCACACACCACCAACCCATACCATCAGCCAGCCACAGCCCCCATCGCCCACCCACCGATTGGCGCGGAGCCCAGGCCCACCCACCGCGCTCATGCACAGCGTGGCGCGGCGATCAGATCGGCCCGATCGATGGGATCCGGTTCGTCGGCGGAGACGTTGAGGAAAAGCGTACAGCGCATGCATCACATCGCATCACATCGCATCGCATCACATCGCATCGCATCGCATCACATCACATCGCATCACAGCACAGTATACTCTTGAGGCGTGTAGTATTGCCCGGCCTGAGAAGCAGTCGCCCAGTCTTCACCTACCTGACTTGTCTACTGTACTACACTGCTGTCTGACCGGTTACGCGCTAGCGATATGTTGTGTTCCCCCAGACGGGCGGCAACGTCGACTACTGCACGCACGCACACTCTATCCCTTTCCCGTACATATCCGGGTCCACTATCCCATGCCCGCCCGCCCGCCCCAGTCGTTGCTAGTCTCCAGGAGGGCCCGATGGGATACTTTGTTGCGAGCGAGGCCTAGAGCGGCGCGATGTGACGGCGGGATGGGGGACGTAAGGGGGAAGTAAGGGGGGAGGGGTGTTTGCTTGTCTTGTCTTGTTTGCTTGCCTCCCCGCGCCCCCATCCCCACCGCTGCTACTGTTGCTGTTGTAATACGACAAGAGGTAAAGGGATGCTAGACATCACACCCCGTCGGCTACGACATCCTTCACCGTTACAACTGACGGATGGGTACAACCAACAAGTGCTGCTGCGGTATGTACGAGGGCACAACACACGCACATGTGCGGGCTTTGTGTACTCAGACCTACATATGCCGATGACGGTGGGGGGGAGGGGGAGGGGGGAGGGGGGATGGTTTTTCCGGGCCCGAAGAGGTGTGGTGATTTATATCCCAACCAGACCAGAGCGGGCTTCTTGGTGGATGTGGGTTTCGAGCCGAACGACGGGCCGAGTTGGTGAGGGGTTCGGTGCGGATGAGATATCGGGTTTGTACATGGGCGTTTAGAAGGGAAGGTGGGGGTTGTCCAACCCTCCGTGGTGCAGAATACCGCTCTGTACACCAGAACAGATAACGAGCAGCGGTTCTGCAACACAGACGGATCTCACACGAACCGCTTCCCCCTCGTCGCGCAACTATTCCTCATCGTAGCCGGCTACGCGCCCGCGAGGCGCATGACGTGATTGTAAGTGGAAGGGGGAGGGTTATACGGGACGGGAGGGACGGGGGACGAGGGGACGGGCGGGAGCAGGATCTTGTGGGAGGTGTGAGGGCGCTTGGTGTGAGGGCGCTTGGGGGGAGGTGGTACTGGGCTTATATGCAGTTGGGGTTCGATAACCCATCCGTAGCAGCACGATGGATGGGTGCTGCACTTGTGGTGCAGAGTCGTGGTAGAACATTGTCGGGAGTAGCGCGTGAGCGTGATGAGGAGAGAGAGAGAGAGAGGGCGTTAGGGCGAGTTGATAGAGCATGAGTATATATACTGCCAAAACCAAAATAAAACAAACAAAAATCCCCAGAAACCCCAAAATAATCCCTCGCTCCCCATTGGCCTCCCCACAACTCCTCCCTCACCACATCAGAAACCGCGTTTCATCCCATCTCCCTCCCAAAACAGCAATCAGCTCAAACACACCAAACACACACCTCCACCCCACCACGGAACCCTCCGCCAACCCCCCTGTCTCATCCCCTGGCCCCCAATTCCCCCCGCCCCAATCACCCATCCCAATCTCCCCACAACCAATCATCTCCCCCCATTCCCCCCACCAACCTCCACAACCCGCTTACACCGCACTCCTATTGGTCGGGCCCATCCGTCCCCTAGCGCTAGGCCCTGGATTAGTCGTCTGTTCTCCTGGCGCTATACCCCTTGAAAAGGCCCCTGTTGTTAGATTGGGAGGATTGGGTGGGTGGGATTTGGGTTGCAGCGTCGTGCCGCTTTGGGGCCAGACTAAGTTATCGTCCTCTCCGGGGCGGCTTGTGTCTGCCTCCTTGCCTCTCTTCTTCTTCTCCTTCTTGCTCTTCATCGACAACGACGACAATAAGCGCCCTCTCTTGTGTTTTTTGTGTTCCCGGACGTTTCGTTCACGACAATCTTTTTTTATTCCTTCGGGATACCCACGCTCTCTTTTTTTACGGAGGGGTTTAGATTGCAGAAAAGGCTTCATTCTCTTGCCTGTGTGCTGCTTTGCCCTGTTCCGACTACTTGCTCACTGCTTTTGACGATTCGGATTTGTGTGTTTTCACAAGACGGAGAGAGATCAAGAGTCGATACTACCACTTGAGGTATGTGATTTGATGTCATCGCCGCTTTGGGGATTCCTTCATTCCTTCCCTTGCATGGGGGGGAGCAGACTTCACCTATCCGGAGTGCCGTCCGATGCGTATCAACAAACCAGTAATCCCACAATCGTTATCTGTTTTGGCCCACGACTCCCAGCTCGGACACACTTCATTTTATTATTTCTACTACAGAAACACAGTCACTAACGACGTCTCATCAATAGATTAATTAATCGTTCGTTCCTCTCAATCAAACTCGCACACCCACGGACGCAACTCAACACACCGAGTACCCATCACGACCCAACAACATCACGAAACCCCACCACCACCCACCACCCACCACAACCGCCAAAATGCCTTCTATCCTCCGCCGCGAAGACTACGAAGCCGGCTGGAGTCCCCTAACCCTCGACTTCATGATCGTCCTCGTCTCCCTCTCCTTCGCCGGCCTTGTCTCCGTCGGTCTCATCTACGCCGTCCGCAAATACCAAGCCCACCGCGCCTCCCGCCACACCGCCCTCCCCTCCTACCACACCCGCAACATCCACGACCTCCACGTCGCCGCACCTCCTTACTACGACGAGAAGCGCCGCCACAGCAGCCGCAGCTCCAGCCCAGGCTCCGGCCCGAGCTCTCCGGTGCCGGAAATCAGGATTACGTTCCCGGATGATGTGGATGGGCAGGGCCGCCAGCTTAAGGGGCGCGTGGTCGTTGTGAGGGTTGGGGAGAAGGGGGGTGTGGGGCTTGAGCCGGTGAGGGATGAGCAGCTGCCCAAGTACGAGCGCGATGGGAAGAAGTGGGATGAGCTGGATATGGAGCTCATGGGCGGGCTGAAGGAGAAGAAGGAGTTCCTGTGAGCCTGGAGCTTGGCTATGCTATGGGATGGATGGGGATTTTGAGATTTCGGGATGGGTGCTGCTTAACGACTTGATGGCTCTTTTTCCTCTGCCCTTGCCTCCTCTGATGAGACCTTTTTTGGGTGGGCCTTGGAAAGTCTTGGAATGTTTATATACTCGTTGCGGACTATCAACAACAATGATGTCCGAAAGTTCCTGTACAAAAAAAGATGCCATACGAACATAGGGGCTTTTGTGTTCATCACTTTCTGGGGAGGCTCTCTTTTTTACTTCTTGGCATTGGCATTTTTGTTTCTTCGTCAGGGAGTGGGCGATTTGGAATAAAAAACTTACTCACTCACTTTAACGGTATTTGCTGTCTGGCTGTCTGGCTGTCTGGCTGTCTGGCTGTCGTTGGATTGAGCTGGGAAGCAGCCATTACCTTTCTGGTGTCCATAGACGCAATACAGACAAACGCTTGTAGCGAAATTCATTGATTGACTGCATAAAGTATTGTTGTGATGATATATATAAATGGACCCTCATTCAGTTCACCAGCTGGGATGATCTACATGACAATCCGGGTTTGGTCTCACGCGCACGCACAACACCAAATATTGAAATTCATGCATCCCCCTCACGAAGCTCCTTCCACATATATCACACATCACAAACTCGATTATTTACGTATATAAATACCAAACCAATCTTCTTCACAACCTTGGAACAAGCCAGAGAATGTAATGAAAATCTAAAGTGTCGCGTCATCTGGAGGCAGTGTAATACCAGAGACACTGTGTCCTGGGACGTGAGTAAACCCAGCGGTCCCAAGACGAGTTTCAAAAATAGATTTAATCATTGATTTGTCCAATAGGACAATTTCAGAGATTAAACTGAAAAGAACAGATACTACACTTGATCTAAGCCAATAGGCAAAGAGAGCTAAAGAGAAAAGAAGAAAAGTTTCCAAAGGTCGGGGGGTGGGAGGTGTATATATAGGCGACGGAAATTTTGAAATCACGCTAGTGAAAATTGCTCTAAACCTAATTCAGCATGGTTTGATGATTGTTTTGGGAGAGCTCCTGGAATTCACGTGATGTGTGTGCCACTCACGTCGTCTGGCACCCCTCGAAATTTATATTCCGCCGCATAACTAGCTGCTTCCGGTTCCTATTCAAACACTACAGACGACAACTAGAGACGCCTATTTCTCTACTACACCTGTCAATTGGGTGGATATGTTTGAGCATTTATAGATACAACCTTATGATCCTTATAAATCCGCACATCTTATGCTGTGAACAGCAACACAATCTAAACCCCAACAGCTCGGACACAGCTCCCCCCCCAACGCCCCAAGGGACAACCAACGCCCACCATGCCCCCATCCGACCCCGACTACGCGCGCATCCAAGCCCTCTACGCCAAAGCGCGCGAAATCAAAGCCAAAGAAGACGCCGCGGCCGCCATCAAAAAAGAAGCCTCCCGCCTCCCCACCGCAGCCGAAAAGCGCGACGCCATCTGCGCCGCCGACTTCCGGCGTCAATGGAACTGGACGACCCTCTTCTTCGCATGGCTGTTCTTGGTCAACGCTGCGGGTATCTACTTCTTCACCAAGGGCTTCTTGCTCACAAGGCTAGTGCTGGAGGAGCACTCGGCGTGCGCGGAACCGCCGAGAGGGTATACACCTGACTCGGCAAGGCCGGGGTGCTGGCACCCGAGGATCTTTGAGAAGGCGGTTGTGGTTATTGTGGATGCGTTGCGTTATGATTTTGCGGTACCGGTTAATGGGACGGAGGAGCAGCCGGCGCTGGCGTGTCATAATGCCTTGCCGTTCTTGTACGAGACGGCTGTTAAGGAACCGCATAATGCGTTCCTCCTCCCGTTCATCGCGGACCCGCCGACTACGACCTTACAGCGCCTTAAGGGCCTGACGACGGGGACTTTACCGACTTTCATCGATGCGGGGAGCAATTTTGCGGGGACGGCGATTGAAGAGGATAATTTGCTCAAGCAGCTCAAGGAGGCGGGGAAGCGTATTGCGCACTTGGGCGATGATACGTGGACGGCGCTGTTCCCTGACTACTTTGAAGAAAACGTGAGTCGCGCATACGATAGCTTCAACGTGTGGGATCTACACACCGTCGATAATGGCGTGATCGAGCATGCGCTGCCGCTCCTGATGTCGAAGCCGAAAGCAGCGGAGGGCGTGGGCAAGGAAGACTGGGACGTGCTGATTGCGCACTTCCTGGGCGTGGACCACGCAGGACACAGATATGGACCGGATCACCCAGCCATGACGGCCAAGCTGGCACAGATGGACGGCGTGCTGCGCGA